GTACCATTCCTAAAAAGAACTCTTATAGAATTCAAAGGAACAGCTTAAATATGAAAAAGACTACCAAAAACCTAAAGCAAATATTATTCTAAATAGCCAAACATTGAAATTGTTTCAAAGAAAATCAGGAATCAGACGTGGATGCCTTTTATCACCATTGTCATTCAACATTACCTTAAAAGTTCTAGTAAATGCAATAAGATAAGATAAATAATTCATACTAAAGCTATAAAAGAGAGGCAAGAAAAAAGAAAAAAACTGCCTTTTGTTGATGATATAATTGTATATCTAGAAAATCTGAGAGACTAGTTTAAAAAAAAGACCTATTAGAAGTAATGAGAGAATTCAATAGAGTGGCTCAATAAAAACATAAATATATAAAAGCCAATAACTTTTCCCTAGCAATAAACACCTAGACATGGAAGCACAGTACATTCACAGTAGTGATAAAATTTTTTTTTAATATTCAGGAACAAATTTAATAAGAACTGTATGCATCCTAAATAAAGAACACTGTAAGTCAGGAAGTAAAAAAGAATAACATTTGCTGAAAGCTTAAAATGTTCTGATTACTTTATATGAATTATTTAATTCTCAAAACAACCTTATGAAATAAAGTACACTAATTATCCTCATTTTAAAGATAAGGAAATGAGGGCTCAGAATACTTAAAAGACTCTCCAAAAAAAAAAAAACTCTCCAAAGTTACACAGTTCTTGCAGTCTGATGCCACATCTCTGTTTTCAATCCTGCCTTCTCTCTTCAAGAGGAAGACTTCCCATATCGTAAACTACCAATTCTTCCAAAATTACATATCACATTTAATGTCAATCCAATTAGAACCTTATTAGGAAAATTCTGGAATTGATAAAGCTTACATAGAAGAAGACACACTGAAGAATAAACTAGAAATATACAAAAACTTAAAATACTGCAAGAATCTTCACCAGATATCAAAACATATTTTTTAAAAAATCCACTATACTAAATCCAATATTGTTTGGCAGAAGTAGACAACAAATCAGTGAGACATAATGGAGAATACAGAAATAGATCTGAGTTTATATGAAATTTTAATGCTGACAGAAAATATTTTAACTCAGTAATGAGGGATTTTTTTTTTTTTTTAAGTAAAAGATACTGGTTACACTGGCCATCCAGCTGGGAGAAAATTGGTTTGGCCCTTTATCTTATACGGAATACAAAGAGATTCTCCAGACAAGAATACTGGAGTGGGTTGCCATTTCCTTCTCCAGGGGATCTTCTGACTCAGGGATCGAACCCAGCTCTCCTGCACGGCAGGCAGATGCTTTAACCTCTCAGCCACCAGGGAAGCCCTTTAAATGTATAGTAAAGCAATAAAAATCTTTAAAAATACATTTGAGAGATTACATGTTCAATTGTGCAGTTAGGGATAACTTAGCTAAAATTTGAAACCCAGAACCATAAAAGAAAAGATAGGCATGTGTGATTATAAAAACTTCTATATGGAAAATGGTGACAAAATAAGGTCACTAGACAAATCACAGATGTAGGATAACATCTGCAATGCAAATAACTTAATGTCTATAATATACAGAGAGCTCTCACATTTTAATAAGAAAAAGACAATCCAAAGGAAAAATAGCTAAATGTACAGAAAATCAAATCTTGACCAATAGACAAAAGATTCTGAAAATAACCAGTAGCAAGTGAGCTACAAATTAACAGCAAAGTACAAAAAAATTGCATAGGGCAACCTCTACTAGTAGAGGAAGGGATGAAAGAACAGTGGAAGGAATGAGAGAACGGTGGCAAATGCTAGTTGAAATATGAATTGTTGCAGCCATTGAACAACAGTAGCCAAGATGTGTTGGTTGGTCACTTGCAGAATGGTGTACATAAAGATAGGAACACAGGAAAAAAAGATGAGAGGGAAGGAGAGATGAAAGATAGTTGAAGGACTGAGGGAGGATAGGAAGAGAGGAGGGAAGGTCAGGAGGGCAAAAGAAGGAATGAAATCAATTTATGTGCATATAGTTACATAGGGGGCTTCCCTTGTGGCTCAGATGGTAAAGAATCTGTCTGCAATGCAGACGACCTGGGTTCGATTCCCCCTAGAGAAGGGAATGGCTACCCACTCCAGTATTCTTGCCTGAAGAATCCCATGGACAGAGGAGTCTGGCAAGCCCATCCATGGGGTCGCAAAGTGTCAGTAAGCATTAACTCAAGACATTGTTAACAATGATGGCCTCAAGGCAGGGGCTCTGAAGGCTAGAGTAGGGGGTAGGAGAAAATTTACATTCCCTTGTTTATCCTTTTGTATCTTCTGAATTCAGTGCGTGCTTGTGCATGCTTAGTTGCTTCAGTCATGTCTGACTCTATACATCCCTGTGGATTACAGCCTGCCAGGCTGCTCTGTCCATGGGGATTCTCCAGGCAAGAATACTGGAGTGCGTTGCCATGCCCTCCTCCAGGGGATCTTCCCCACCCAAGGATCAGACCTGCATCTCTTAATGTTTACCTGCTTTGGCAGGCAGGTTCTTTACCACTAGTGCTACCTGGGAAACCTTCTGAATTCAGTAGTACGTGTTTGTTTTGTCTATTGAAAAAATAACAATATTAATCAGTTAAATAATTCAAAGTTTGTTCAAAAACAATGAGTAAAATACATAGGCCAATATTTTTATTCTTTTTTTACCACGTATTTTTTTTCTTTTCATTTATTTTTATTAGTTGGAGGCTAATTACTTCACAACATTTCAGTGGGTTTTGTCATACATTGACATGAATCAGCCATGGAGTTACATGTATTCCCCATCCCGATCCCCTCTCCCACCTCCCTCTCCACCCGATTCCTCTGGGTCTTCCCAGTGCACCAGGCCCGAGCACTTGTCTCATGCATCCCACCTGGGCTGGTAATCTGTTTCACCCTAGATAATATACATGCTGCTCTTTCAAAACATCCCACCCTCACCTTCTCCCACAGAGTCCAAAATTCTGTTCTGTACATCTGTGTCTCTTTTTCTGTTTTGCATATAGGGTTATCATTACCATCTTTCTAAATTCCATATATATGTGTTAGTATGCTGTAATGGTCTTTATCTTTCTGGCTTACTTCACTCTGTATAATGGGCTCCAGTTTCATCCATCTCATTAGAACTGATTCAAATTAATTCTTTTTAATGGCTGAGTAATATTCCATGGTGTATATGTACCACAGCTTCCTTATCCATTCATCTGCTGATGGGCATCTAGGTTGCTTCCATGTCCTGGCTATTATAAACAGTGCTGCGATGAACATTGGGGTGCACGTGTCTCTTTCAGATCTGGTTTCCTCAGTGTGTATGCCCAGGAGTGAGATTGCTGGGTCATATGGCAGTTCTATTTCCAGTTTTTTAAGGAATCTCCACACTGTTTTCCATAGTGGCTGTACTAGTTTTCATTCCCACCAACAGTGTATGAGGGTTCCCTTTTCTCCACACCCTCTCCAGCATTTATTGCTTGTAGACTTTTGGATAGCAGCCATCCTGACTGGCGTGTAATGGCACCTCATTGTGGTTTTGATTTGCATTTCTCTGATAATGAGTGATGTTGAGCATCTTTTCATGTGTTTGTTAGACATCTGTATGTCTTCCTTAGAGAAATGTGTGTTTAGTTCTTTGGCCCATTTTTTGATAGGGTCATTTATTTTTCTAGAATTGAGCTGCAGGAGTTGCTTGTATATTTTTGAGATTAATCCTTTGTCTGTTGCTTCATTTGCTATTATTTTCTCCCAATCTGAGGGCTGTCTTTTCACCTTACTTATAGTTTCCTTTGTTGTGCAAAAGCTTTTAAGTTTCATTAGGTTCCATTTGTTTATTTTTGCTTTTATTTCCAATATTCTGGGAGGTGGGTCATAGAGGATCCTGCTGTGATTTATGTCAGGGAGTGTTTTGCCTATGTTCTCCTCTAGGAGTTTTATAGTTTCTGGTCTTACATTTAGATCTTTAATCCATTTTGAGTTTATTTTTGTGTATGGTGTTAGAAAGTGTTCTAGTTTCATTCTTTTACAGGTGGTTGACCAGTTTTCCCAGCACCACTTGTTAAAGAGGTTGTCTTTTTTCCATTGTGTATCCTTGCCTCCTTTGTCGAAGATAAGGTGTCCATAGGTTCGTGGATTTATCTCTGGGCTTTCTATTCTGTTCCATTGATCTATATTTCTGTCTTTGTGCCAGTACCATACTGTCTTGATGACTGTGGCTTGGTAGTATAGTCTGAAGTCAGGCAGGTTGATTCCTCCGATTCCATTCTTCTTTCTCAAGATTGCTTTGGCTATTTGAGGTATTTTGTATTTCCATACAAATTGTGAGATTATTTGTTAAACTATAACAAGTTCTGTGAAGAATACTATGGGTTGCTTGATAGGGATTGCATTGAATCTATAGATTGCTTTGGGTAGTATACTCATTTTCACAATATTGATTCTTCCAATCCATGAGCACGGTATGTTTCTCCATCTGTTTGTGTCCTCTTTGATTTCTTTCATCAGTGTTTTATAGTTTTCTATGTATAGGTCTTTTATTTCTTTAGGTAGATATACTCCTAAGTATTTTATTCTTTTTGTTGCAATGGTGAATGGTATTGTTTCCTTAATTTCTCTTTCTGTTTTTTCATTGTTAGTGTATAGGAATGCAAGAGATTTCTGTGTGTTAATTTTATATCCTGCAACTTTACTGTATTCGTTGATTAGCTCTAGTAATTTTCTGGTAGAGTCTTTAGGGTTTTCTATGAAGAGGATCATGTCATCTGCAAACAGCGAGAGTTTCACTTCTTCTTTTCCTATCTGGATTCCTTTTACTTATTTTTCTGCTCTGATTGCTGTGGCCAACACTTCCAACACTATGTTGAATAGTAGTGTTTACCACATATTTTTAAAGAGAAAATATATGCAGCTGTTTGAGTTGTTGATTTTATGTTAAACCACGAAAACAACCTGAAAACGTATGCTAAAATAATGAAAACCAGTGCATTTTCTACAGGTTGCCATAAAGGTGTTGGAAAATATCCTGAGTGCTCAGTCCAGTATTCCTTGGCAGACACTGCAGTACCTGATTGGGGAGGTGGTTTATGGTGGCTGGGTGACTGACAGCTGGGACAGGCGATGTTTAAACACCCTTCTCTACAAATTTTGTAATCCTGAAGTGCTAAAAGATGACTTCAGTTTCTCTACTGATGAGGTAAGAAAAGGATTTATTTTCTTAACATTACTTGATTATGTTTAACTAAGGATTGCTCCATTATTTAAAATCTATATTAAAATAAATTTTAACATTCACTTTTTTCACTTTCTATTTATGTATTTATTTATGGCTGCACTGGATCATCATTGTTGCATACAAGCTTTTCTCTGGTTGCTGCGAGTAGAGGCTATTCTCTAGTTGCAGTGTGCAGGCCTCACACTGAAGCAGCTTCTCTTGTTGCAGAACTCAGGCTCTAACTGCAAGGGCTGAGCAGTTATGGCACTCAGGCTTAGCTGCCCCATGGCATGTGGAATCTTCCTGGACCAGAGATTAAATTCATGTCCCCCGCATTGGCAGGCAAATCTCCAACCACTGGACCACCAGGGAAGCCCTTAACATTCACTTTTAATGGTGTTTATTAACTTTCAGTGTGGCTTCCCAGGTGTCACAGTGATGAAGAATCCACCTGCCAATGCAGGAGATGCAAGAGACACAGGTTAGATCCCTGAGTCAGGAAGATACACTGGAGGAGGAAACAGCAACCCACTCTGGTATGCTTGCCTGGGAAATCCCATGGTCAGAGGAACCTGGCAGGCTACAGTCCACGGGGTTGCAAAGAGTCGGACATGACAGAGCATGCACGCACACATGTATAACCTTTAGTATTACCAAAGTAAATGACCATCACTTGATTAATTACCATTTTATCTACCTATCCATACTCTAAAGACCCTCCACAGATGACCTGTATATGATCTCTGTCTCTCCTTCTCCTCCTCCCACCAGGCCCACACCCACTTTACCATGATCACCCAGATGGCACCTTCCTTCTCATCTTCCTGGGAATTCCCTGGTGGTCCAGTGGTTAGGACTCCACACTTTCACTGCTGAGGAGGCAGGTTCAGACCCTGGTAGGGGAACCTACAAACTGTGGCACGCCCTCCCCCCCCCCAAAAAAAATTATCCTTCTCATCTTCCATTCACCTCCCCTATACAAATTGCCAACCATCACACTGATGTCAAGTCCTCCCTCCCAAATCTCAGGCCAGAGGTCTGCATAATTTTTGTTCTGCTAGCAATCATCCACCAAGGGCACAACCTGGAATCTACACTATTAAATATAGCATTATGCTTGCCAGTAAATGAAAAGAATGATAAATGGCTCATGCCCTCTGGGAACCTAGAATATAAAATACAAAGCACAAGGAAGCAGAAGCAAGTTAAGCTGTACTGATCTGATCCACGCTTGTTGACTGATGTCTTTTTCTCATTTAATGCTCAAAACAACTATGTGAAGTAGATGTTATCCCCAGTTTCAGATGAGGAAACTGAGGTTCTCAGGGTACAGCCACATACAGTAAAGAGAGCTGAGATTCAAGGAGTTTACGCCAAGCACTGAAGAAGATGAAACTCTGCATCATCCCTTGTCCTCTCTCTGTTTAGTGTTTAATTTCCATCCAGGCCTCCATCTTTGTGGACCAAGAGCCTCCAATGTACACACAGCAGTTGTGCCCTGGCAGATGGTTGCCAACAGAGGGAAAAATCCTCCAGACCTCTGGTTTGAGAGTGTGGAAAGAGGACTTGACATGAATGTGATGGGTTGGAATTTGTATAAGGGAGATGATGGAAAGTGAGAAGGAAGATGACACCATCTGTTAAGGCAGGAAAAGCTATGAGTTGTTTTTTAGAGTTCTATTAAGGAAAAAAAAACAAACTTTTAAATAACACTCTAGTTGTTTAGAGTCTAAATTCAACCCTTAAGATAAAATTATCCTTGAAAGTTTTTTAAACTGCAAAAAAGTACAGTGGGCCTAGTTTTGTATACAGACTCTTACTTAAGTATGCTCAAAAGGATATGAAATATAGTAACATAGAAGTGTATCATTCCATTGGCAGAATTCTATCAGACTACAGAATAGGATTCTAACATCATAATTTCTATTATTTAGTTGCTTTAAGTGCTGCAAGTTTATTGACAGTTTTGTCATAAAAACTTGCCAGCTCTTCCCGTTCCTGGTCATAATCTTAGTTTCTGCAGGTAATTTTTTATTAATGTCCCTGTCCTTCTGCTTGTGTTCACTCAGTCATATCTGACTCTTGGTGACCCCGTGGTCTATAGCCCACCAGACTCCTTTTTCCATGGACTTTTCCAGGCAAGACTACCAGAATGGGCTGCCATTTCCTTCTCCAGGGGATCTTCCTGACTCAAGGACCAAACCTGAGATTCCTGGGTATCCTGCATTGGCAGGTGGATTCTTTACCACTGCACCACCTGGGAAGCCCCGATGTCTCCCTGTGGCCCTCATTAATCGGTCAATGTTTTCCTTGAAGATATTGAGAAAGCCATTACTACCCACTTTCCTGGCCATGTGAACAAGGCATTTCTCTTCTTTGTCAGTGGTCAGTTACTCCTTTTTTTCTTTTTTTTTTTTCTTCTCTTTAACACTTAAGGCCCAAGACCAGACCTGACACAAAATGTTTCTTCTGTATAGTGTTCTATTGGTCAAGCAGTCAAAGAATCAGATTGATAGGAGAGTTAAATAATTTGAGGCAATGTTTTTAAACTTTCAAAATCCTTGGCCACAAATGTTTTGCATTCTTTCCAGATACCAAATGTTCTCACTCCCTCTCAGACACCTGAAAGTTCTCTTTCCATTACAGTGTTAAGGTCAAGGGTCTTGAGCAGATGAGACTCTTTGGTGCAGTCCCTTTGGTGTAACTCCTTAAGTAGTTCCCCTTCATATGAAGATCTTTTAATTAGAAGACCTTTGGCAGTCTGTATGGTGAGGGCGTATGGCGACCTCCTCCAAGAGGACTTATGCCAACACTCCGAGCCTCCCAGCACTGTTGCTGCCTGTGCCCCTGACCCCACAGCAGGCCACTGCCGACCCATGCCTCCGCAGGAGACCCCCAGACACTCACAGTTCCTCATCACCAGATGAAGCCTGAAGCATCTCACCTGTCACAAAACCAAAGTCCTCTAGAGAGTCCTCGTGCCGTTGCCACCTCTTCATTTGTGACAAACAACCAGACTGCACAAAACAGAGATCATAAAGAAAGCATGCTGTCCTGACCACAGAGATATCAGTCTCCAGCCAGCTCTGGCCCTCAGCGAAATCCACTACTTTGTAAAATCATGAGCAGGAAAAAACCTTTCCCTGCGAGGTCTGATGACAAAGATGTCCAGCACGGTGAATGGTACATTGGAAAATACAGTCTTCAGGGCAGTGGAAGAGGCATTATTGAAGGAGAACAGGGCCCATTGAAGGAGAGCACCACCAGCAGGCCAGAGCCCTACGTGTTGGTGGTGTTTTGTGGGAACAAAATCTGCAATGTGAAAATACACTTGCTGGAGAGGAATCAGCAGTTTGTCCCAGGGACGGCACTCAGAGGAGACGAAAATTTTGACTCGGTGGAAGCCATCATCGAACACTACAAGTGTTTTGCTGTTAAACTCATTGATGGGAAAGATACTTGACTCAGCCCCTCCCTCTAAACAGACAATTCTCACCTAGGTAGCCCTTGTTGGCAGCTAAATAGTTTTCTCACATACTTCCTGTCCGTAGTTGTACAGGAACCTGAAGTCCTCTCTCCATGTTTCACTGTCTCTGTCCCTTTTGGTCCACGCTGATATAACTCACTTTTAAACACTGTGCATCTCTTATGAATCAGTTTATAGTCTAATAAACAAAAACTGCACTAGCACATGTCCTTGGAGCAGTGTGGCTGTGCTGTTCTGGCTCGAGGTTACTCATAAGGTGACAGTCAAGGCATCATCTGAACGCTTAACAGAGGCCAGAGGATCTACTCCCAAACTCACTCACAAGTTCATTGGTTGGCCAGAGGTCAACTCATCTTCCATCATTTGGGAGCACTGGGGCTGTTTGATGGTCCTTAAAACATGGCAACTGGCATCCCCAGAGTGAGTTAACCAAGAGGGAGGAAAGAAGCTGCAGTGCCTTTTAAGACCTGGTCTCGAAAGTCTCTCTCCAGAGAGAAATGGGGAGATAATGGTAACAGGGTTCAAATTTTCAGTTATAAGATAAATAGGCTCTGGGGGTCTAATGTATAGCATGATAATTATAGTTAATAATACTGTATTGTATACTTGAAATATGCTAGATAATAGATGCTAAGCAATATCACTGCAACAACAAAAAATAACTATATGGATGTGATAGATGTGTTCATTAATTTGATTGTGATTATTATTTCACAACTTACATTTATATCAAATTATCATGTTATACACCTTAAGTATATATAGCATTAGTTTTCAATTATGCCTCAGTAAAGGTGGTGGGGAATAGGGGTAGACAGAGAGTAGAATAATATATATGTTATGAGCTGAATTTTTTAAAATAAAATTTTATTTTAAAGCTTAAAAAAAAAAACAAAGTCCCACTCCATCCCTTCCACTTTATTTCTGTTTGACAGAAGCAGTCACTTAGTCCAAGCTCCAGTTGAGAAAAAGAGAATTAGACTCCATCTTTGAAGGGTTGAATATTAAAGAACTTGACGTATTTTTAACCAGTACAGCCATGTTTATCATTATGACTTAATAGGTTTTTAAAAATGTATTTTTTCTTAATTAGTTGTGATCCTAGGATCAGCCAAAGGATCTGCTTACCTTACAGAGCCTTTATCCAATCAGTACTTAGTTATAACTTATCAACTGGGAAATATACCTGGTAAACAGGAAGAAAAATCTTTTCATTTCCCTATTAAATAGCTTTTTAACTCACTTGCGGTTTTTTTTGTTTTTTTGTTTTTTTTTGCTTATTTTAGCTGGAAGTGTGTCCCTTTTGACCACCTTCATCAGTTTTGCCCACCCCCCACCCCGACTCCCTTAGTCTCTTCAGTTATTCTTAAGATCATGCTCACATGTCTTCTATAGGCTTTACCAAAGTAAAATGACTTCTTAAATCTTGAGTGCATCCACTATCTGTGGCTGTAGTCAGAATCACCCTCCTTTCTTTTTTCCTTTCTCTCTTTTTCCAGTGAGAAAGTTACATGTGTCTGTCATGAAATTGTACTTTATAACATAGCCCAAGTGCAACTTTTGACAGAAGTATCTAGAGTATACCATCAACAAATAAGCATAAAATAATGTATAAAATTTCACGGGGAAATATCATCTTCATACATTGCCAAAAGTAAATATCTCAGTAGGTAAAAACTAACCAGTGTTTAAATTTTCACATATATTAGCCACTGCCAAAATCTGGAAGCATGAAGGACTACATACGCATTATCCAGTCCTTACCTGATGACGACCCTCCTGAGCTCCTAGAATTACACCCTGAGGCCACAAGGGGTTTCAGGGAGATCCAGGCCCAGAAGTTCATTGATGATCTCATTGCCATGCAACCAAGATTTACCATCACTAACCTCATGTTCAGGTAAGAACTCACTAGGAAAAAATATTAGTTGTAAATTATTAAGTATCCATTTGAAGATATACAATATATTACTTACAGAAAAATACAGTCAAAAAACACAGAAACCAAATTCTCCAAATGACAGAGAAGCAAGTTTACTTACACAGGAGCACACACACACATATAATTACCAAGCCTGTAGTAGGGTCGCAATAAATCTTCACTGAGTGAGTGAATTGTACCTGATGGGTGGTATTTTTTAACTGAATCTGTATAAATATGAAATGTTATATTTACTTCTATAGGACCTATACATGCATGTGTGTGTGTGTTTGTGTGTCTGCTAGTCACCCAATAGTGTCTGACTCTTTGGGGCCCCATGGGCTGCAGCCTGCCAGACTGCTCTGTCCATAGAATTTTCCAAGCAAGAATACTGGAGTGGGTTGCCATTATCTATTCCAGGGGATCTTCCCTATCCAGGGATCAAACCCCTTTTGTGTCTGGCGGATTCCTTGGCAGGCAGATTCCTTACACCTAGGGCCACCTGAGAAGCTCACATTTTTATCTATTTACCTAGAAAAGCTCTGAACCCAGTGGAATCCTGCATTCTCTTAGTCTTTCTGTCTCTTTAGACCACATAATTCATGTTAAAATGACATCTGGGGACTTCTGTGGTGGTCCAGTGGTTAAGATTTCACCTTTCAATGCAGGGGATACGGGTTCAATCCCTGGTCAGGGAGCTAAGATCCCACATGCCTCATGGCCTAAAAACCAGAACATAAAGCAGAAGGAATATTGTAGCAAATTCAATAAGGATTTTTTTAAATGGTCCATTTATTTAAAAAAAATTTTTAATGACATCTGATTTTATTTGTCTATGACTTTAGCTATTTGCTCTTATCTGTCAAAATCAAATCTACTGACACAAAATAAGATCATTGGATACTCATTTCACTGACAAAATGAACATATATTAACTACCTGTGACATAAAAGGAAAGCTGCCATTCAGAGATAGAAAACTATGCAATTGGAACTCCGTCAGTACCTCCCCAGAATATCAGGTTGAATTTCCTGCAGGCCCTACACTTTTAAGGATTAATTCTGCACTTTTCTTTTTTTAATGAGGTTGACAATAACCCCTGCTTTTTTTAGGGGCAGGGACACCACACAGCTTGCAGGGATCTTAGTTACCCACCAGGGATGGAACTTGTGCCCCTCCCTCTCCCTGCAGTAGAAGCAGCACAGTCAACCACTGGACCACCACGGAAGTCCAATTCTGTACTTTTAGCATTCAGCAAATACACCAGTAAGAGATGAGATGATTATAAGGGAATACTTTTAATAAGCAGACCAAATATGTGTATTAATATCCCTTTGGTCATGTGGAGAGGCAATGATTATTGCAGTTAGGCCACCTTTGCTGATAAGTCTATTAAAAACTTGTTTGTGGGACTTGACTTGAAAGATCTCTAACATTCAAGGCAATGTCTTCAGTGGTAAGCAAATCTCTGCACTTAGAATATGAGTTTGATTTTTGAAATCTTTTGACCCTTCAACCATTTGGCTGAGTTCCACTGAGTAACCCTACTTTAATGTCAAAAACAAAGCATAATGACAAAGTTAGGAAAATGTTAGTTCATGAAAGTTGTAAACTGTCTCAGAAGCAGCTCTTGTTGTTGTTGTTGTTGTTAAGTTGCTCAGTTGTGTCCAACTCTTTGCAACCCCACAGACTGTAGCACACCCGGCTTCCCTGTCCTTCACCATCTTCCCTGTCCTTCACCATATCCATCTTCCCTATCCTTCACCATCTCCAGGAGTTTGCTCAAACTCATATCCATTAAGTTGACGATGCCATCCAATCATCTCATCCTCTGCACTGTTAGACTAAATACACAGCTTATTACCAGACTATCACTTACTTTGAAGGCCCACATTCATTTTGCTGTGTGAAACCTGGAATGTTTGCTGGAAAACCAGTTCCCACTGGTATATACAGTAACAGAGAGATGGACCTCAAAAGAGCTATGCCCCCTTCCCTCTTCATCCACTGTACAGGGAGGTCCTATCACCTCCCTGAACCCTGATTTCCTCATCTGTAAAAGGATTCCAAAGACCTCCTCTGTCTTCAGTGTTTTTATGGCCTTGCTTATGGCCTTACTACCAGACCTATATACATGCTCTTCTGTTGCCACCACTGAGTGTGTTACCAGGAAGCCCTGTGTATGAACACAGAGGAATCTGACATGCAGTTGAATAACCTATCAAGCTACTGCAGCATCCTCTGTCTGGTTGCCTCCTTGTTTGCATCCCAGTCTTGATACTTGTTTCATGCAAATGCATTCAGATGAATACTTTTCAAAGAAACCTTAAGAAAACTTTAAAAATATGTATCTCCTTGCAAATGTCTGAAGTGCATTGGGCAGTTTTCTCACCTGCAAAATGAAATGAACTCCATGGTCTCTGTAAGTCTCCGTGGTCTCCATATCACAGTTCTGTGGCTCTGTGAATTTGGGTTTACCTTCAGATGGAGCCTACATAAAGGGCCCTCCCAGATTAGACAGGCCTGTATCTCCTTTTTTCTTTTGATTTCCTTGCAGTCATGAGAAGAGCAAAGATGAGCTGGTGATGGAAATTTTATCAGACATGCTAAAGCGGCTGCCAGTGTCTGTAGAGAAAGAAGAATGGGCTGGAACTCCAAGCACACTGAAGTACATCATGTTAAGCCCCATCTGGGAGTCTATTCATAAAGATCCCAAAGGTAAGCCTGGGACATGACCTTCCTCTCCTCACCCTAGCCTCCTCAGGAAAGGACTCCAGCATCAGGAGGACAAAAGTTATTAACAAAGTGGAAAGGCCGATGTGAGATGGAAAACTAACTCCATAATGCCCTCTTCTCTCTCCAAGCTGGGTGATGGGGAGTAGAAGAGAAAATGATGGGGGCAGGAGGGATGGCAGATTCAGAGGAGACAGAGCAATCCTCGTTGTCCAGAGTTGTCTCCACACCCCGCTCTGAGAGGCCAAAGTGTTGGACTGTGGTAATTTGCCCAATTAAATTTTCAACATCCATACTTTAACCCTTTAAAGATATTCAACCTTTACTGTTCATCTGAAACTGTCACAACATTGTTACTAGGCTATACCCCAATACAAAATAAAGTGTTTTTTTTTCTTTTTTGATCCTCTCTTTATTATTTTTTTTTTCATTTATTTTTATTAGTTGGAGGCTAATTACTTTACATCATTGCAGTGGTTTTTGTCATACATTGAAATGAATTAGCCATGGATTTACATGTATTCCCCATCCCGGTCCCCCCTCCCACCTCCCTCTCCACCCGATCCCTCTGGGTCTTCCCAGTGCACCAGGCCCGAGCACTTGTCTCATGCACCCAACCTGGGCTGGTGATCTGTTTCACCCTAGATAATATACGTGTTTCGATGCTGTTCTCTTGAAACATCCCACCCTCGCCTTCTCCCAGAGTCCACAAGTCTGTTCTATACATCGGAGTCTCTTTTTCTGTTTTGCATATAGGGTTATCATTACCATCTTTCTAAATTCCATATATATGTGTTAGTATACTGTAATGGTCTTTATCTTTCTGGCTTACTTCGCTCTGTATAATGGGCTCCAGTTTCATCCATCCAAAATAAAGTTTTAAAAAAAAAGATTCATTTTGAGCCTACAAGCTAAACTAATGGTTGAAAAAAAATCAAAAGAATAATAATATTTCATGACACAAATATTTCATGAAATTCAAATTTGAGTGCCCACACATAGAGCTTTATTGGGGTGCAGCCATGATTAGTTGTTTTCACATTGTCTATGCCTGCACCTGCTCAACATTGGGAGAGTTGAATATCCCACAAAGCCTGGGATATTTACTAACTGGCCTTTTGCAGAAAATAGTTTTCAATCCTTGGGCTACCCACATCAAACTCTTTTAATTTTCAAAGCTTATTTCTATCCAAGTAAAGCCTCATCTTATCTGAAAGATGCCACAATTTTTTCTTTTTTTTATCCAGGCTATGATCCACTTATCCACTGTGTCCTACTAACCTTTTTGATCCAAGAAATTGAAAGATTTGATCAGTTGCTATCTATTATACATAAGTCTCTGAAAGATCTTCAACTTGCTATAAAAGGAGAGATTATCCTTACCCAAGAATTGGAGGAAATATATGACTCTCTTCTTAATATAAAAGTGCCCAAATTGTGGCAGGTAAGCAATTATCCTTTCCCATTCACTTGCTTGATTGAAATAAATGCCCTGGTTCTAGGGAAAGGGTAAGTTAACTATGGTATAGACTCATGATGAAATATTATGTATCCATTAAAAAATTTTGACTTTTATATATACTTTTGGTATGAGTATATATTAATAAAATCTGAGAGGGCAATTTGGCAATTCTACTTAAATAAATTCATCTAAGAGATATTTTTTGCAAGGCTTTTTATGTTTCAGCATAAAGCTGAAAACAACTCTAATACCTCTTAATGGAAATCTGGTTAGATAAATTATGACATATCCAAATAATAAGGTATGTGTTGATATGCTAAAAAGATCTCTAAGATGTATTGTGAAATTTTTTTAGGTTTTAGAACACTTAAGTCATTTTTAAGGATTATAAAAATATGTATACTTCTATAAAATACATGCTTACATAAATATGTGTAAAAACACATATGTTTTAGATTCAAGAAACCCAAGTTAAAATTTTGAAAGTTCCAAAAAAGCCAAAAGCACTGGGCTGACAGCCCCATCCCACCCCTACTAGGGCATCCAAGAGGCACATCAAGGGAGATGGGGCTGCAAAAAGGTCCACAAAGAGAGCATGGGCCTGATAGGGGCCAGCTGGTGCCCAGCACCAAGACAAGCTCGGGTCCCAGGTCAGCTCCAAGGTAAACTCACTGCAGGCCTAGGTCTGCTGGGAACCAGTGACTGGAGGGAACCAGGCAGCTGTGTACAGTGGGATGGGAAGAAGGTGGAAGTAAGGGGATGTCGCTTGTGTAAAGGGCTGGTGGCTGTAAAAATTGCTTTTGTAAAGTAGGAGCTGGGGGTGAAGTGTGTGCTGCCTCAAAATTCTGGCCTCACTTAGCCCCTTTGCCCTCTGGCAATAAATTGTTTCTATAAGCCAAAAAAAATTCTATAGGCAAAAAAAAAAAAAAAAGATCATAAGAACATATCCAGAATGCAACCCAGAGAGACTAAGAATGGAAACTGTGAAAGAGCCATGAAGATTCGTAGAGAGCAAACAGACTGTCCAACATTAGATTGAAGTTCAAAGCGGGAGACGAGAGTGGGTGAAGCAGAGGCAATAATTAAAGGAGTAAGAGCTGAGAATTTTCCAGAATTGATAGATATAAGAAGTTCAATGAATCCCAAGCAGTATACATCCTTTTTAACTTATGCATAGATACATCCTAATGAACCTGCAGAAAATCAAAGAAAAACTCTTCAAAAGCAGCTAGAAAAGAGTAACTTTCAAAGGAATGGAAATGGTATCTCCATTGTGTCAAATGAAATGAACTGTTAAACTAAAATTGTATATACAAAACTTTTGTTTCAAAAATGAAGATAACGGGAATTCTCTGGAGGTCCATTGGTTAAGCGTTGCAGGGAGTGAGGATTCTTAGCTCCCTGGTGTGGGAGCTAAGATCCCACATGCCTTGTAGCCAAAATACAATAACAGAAGCAATATTGAAGCAAATTCAATGAAGACTTTAAAAATGGTCTGCATAAAAAAAAAAAATCTTTAAAAACAAAAATGGAGATGAAATAAACCAAAACGAGAAAATGCTGAGAGAGTTCATCATTAGCAAATGCTAAGGGAAGCCCTGAATGCCTTTCCTCATTTCCAGCAGGAAGGTGGATGGAGGTAAGGGGGGAAGCTCTGAGACGTAAGAAGGAATGAAGAGGCGGAAAAGTGGTAGATGAGGTGGTGAATAAACTTTGACAAAAATAAAAAGCAACAACAATATTAACATCCAGTGGGATTATTTTTTTAAAGAAGGATAGAATATTGGGCATTCTGAAATGCAAACAACAAGAATAGAAAGGGTCAACAGAAACCAAGTTTGGGGAGGATATGGAATTTTTAGTCTCAGAGAAGGAAGTTAAAAGTAATAATAACCCATAGATTTTTACAGATTAAGTATGCATGTTGTAATTAGGGTAATCACCAAAACAATTGAAACAAATTGCAGAGGAGGGAGAAATGCTTGTTATATTGTGTTGTGAATAAAAAAATTTTTAAAGATTCAAACTGGCATATACAATATAATCTCAACAATATAAAAAATATATAATCCCATGCACATGAGTATCAAGAAACATGTACAAAATTATTCAGGACATCATTATTTATAATGGTAAACTACTGGAGACAACTAAAATGTGTCATCCACAATAGGATGGAAAAATATATGGTATATTCATATGTTAGACTATACCAACAGTGAAAGGGAATGAACTACAGCTATAAGCATCAGCAGGATATGCTCAAAAATAAGGATGAAATCACACACAGACACACACACAGTCAATTCTTATTATTTGTGATTTACATCTTTGTGAATTTGCCTACTTTCTAAAATTTATCTGTAATCAAAATGTATGCAGACACATGAAAAGATGCTTAACATCATTCATCATTAGGGAAGTGCAACTCAAAACCACAATGAGGTATAATTTCAAACCCACTAGGATGATTACTTCCCAGGTGGCGCAATGGTGAAGAATCCATCTGCCAGTGCAGGAGACGCAAAGATGCTGGTTTGATCTCTGGGTCAGGAATATCCCCGGAAGAGGAAATGGCAACCCACTCCAGTATTCTTGCCTGGAGAATCCCATGGACAGAGGAGCTTTGCAGGCTACTGTTCATAGTGTCACAAAGAGTCAGACACAACAGAGCACTCACTCACACTCATGATGGACAGAAAAATACAGACAATAATAAACATTGCAAGGATACAGAGACATTGGAATCTTCATATTCTGCTCTTGGTAAAATGGTGTAGCCACTTTTGGAAAATAGTATTTTATTTCCTCAAATAGTTAAACATAGAGTTGCCATTTGATCCATCAGTTCCAACCCTAGGTATATTCCCAACAGAAGTTGAAACATGTACCCACACACAAAAAAACTTGTCGTAACTGTTCACAGCAGCATTATTCAGAGCCAAAAGATGGAAGCAACTCAGATATTCCTGATGAATGGACAGAATCCTGATGAATAAATTACATGGTTTGTGAATTATATCTCAATAAAGGTATTTTTAAAACCTATAGTAGAAAACATAGAGTTTAGAGAAAGCAATGACAATTATAAATACTTAAAAACTGAGTGCAAGCTGTGAAGAGAATTGAGATATTGGATCTGCAAGCTGCACATACTTAGAATCATAAGACTTCACATCTTGCAAGGATCTTGGGGTTCCTCTGCTCCAATATCCTTATTTTACAGATATGGAAACTGAGCAGCAGAGAGGCTTCGTGACTTACTAAGAAAGTTAACTAGTTAAAGGGCTGGGAGTCACATGAGTTCAAATTTAAGTTGAAAGAGCATGGCTCAGTTGGAATCCTCTAGTTTTAGTTTCCTATGGGGTGAAATGAGGGCATATCTGACCGAATGGCAAGAGCTGAAATTAGTCAGGGAGAAATGTATGGCTTGGACAATTAGGTGGGCAATAGTTCCATTTAGAGACAGAGTGGGCAGAAACAGAGGCTGTTCGAGGGCAGATGCTGACATCCTGTTTTGGACATGAAACATCTCGAGAAGCTAGGGGAGGCTTCCAAGTGAAGCTATCCAGGAGAAAGGGGATGAGAGTGCAAAGCAAGGTATCAGTACTATCAGCTTAGACAAAGTAGTGGAAACCACAATGAATTAGATCTGAGAGAGACAGTGTAAAGTAGGGAGAGAAGAGGGGTGAGGGAACATTAGGCAACACCACCTGAAAGGGAGGTAAACAGAGGAAGAGTCAAAGCATGAAACCTGAGAAGTAGAGAATTCAGGAGAAAGTCAGGATTGAGTGTGGACGCAGGGGTCAAGGCAGGAGAGGGAGGAAGTAATCAACTTAGTCAAAAGCTGCAGAGGATGCAAATTAGGCAAATGGGAGGGATGAGTCTAGGGTGGGATCATGAATATGAAACGTATAAGGTCCTTGATGACTTCTAATGAAGACACCAAATGACAATAGGTTTGGCAGGCAATGGGAAGAGGGGACAGGAGTCAATGAAGCTGTTCAAGAAGCCTGACTAGAGAAAAGAAGATCAAGCCTAGAGAGCTACAAGGGGCCTTTTTTGCCTCCTTTGCAATACACAAGTATGGTGGTGTTTTTACTAACTTTACTGAGGAAAATTTTACAATGACAGTTGTATATATTTAAAATGTATGACACGATGATTTGATATACATATACATTGTAGAATGATTACCAAGGTCAAGATAATGCATCCATCACCTCACATAGTTAACACAGTTAACTTTTTTTATGGTGATAAGAATGATCAAGATCTCCTCTCAGCAATTTTAAAGTACAAAATACTATATTATTACTATGCTTTAGATCCTCAAAGGTTGTTCTTCTTATAACTGAAAATTTGTAGTCTTTGATCTACATTATCGTATTTCCCCCTCCCATCTACTTCTGGCAACCCCCATTTTTCCGAGGAACATTGTGTCTATACATAATTTGTATAGAGTTTTTATCATGAAAAGATGTTGAATTTTGTCAAATCCTTTTTGTGCATCTATTGAAATTGCCAGGTGAGTGTATGCTCCTCGGTTTTTGTCTCATCACAAGGATTTGGAGTGACGGACATTAAAGCCCCCCTTGGCGTGTCACAGCTCTCGGGTCTTGGACAGACCATGTTATAGCTCTTAGAGAAATCAGTTACAGCTCTATTTTTATTTAGAAGATAGCAGGAAAATCCATCTTAGAGGCATGACGGCACGTCGATTCAAGGACGCGAAGAGAAGTGTGCCCCATCGCACGGGAGAGAGAGAGAAAGAGAAAGAAAGAGCGAGCGAGCACACACACGGGTGGGAGAGAGGGAGAGAGAGAGAGAGCCGTTTGGCTCCTCTTTTTATGTTTTTTTCCTTCCCCCTGGGCCTGCCCTATGCAAATTGGGCTTAGTCAGAAGTGCTGTTCTACCTGAAGTCCTCACTCCCTTCCTTGGACCTTCCTTTGACCTTCTTTTGTTCTATTTTCTTGGGCTTTTCCCTTCCTTGTCTTTTAGCCACCGCCATTTTGGACTCCTGTTTTCTATTCTAACTACCTTACAAAATGATCATGGGATTTTTATCCTTCACTGGATAATGTAGGGATTTTATCCTACATTGTGGTGAATCACATTTTTTGATCTTCATGTTTAACCATCCTTACCTCCCAGGGCTGAATCCCACCTGATCACTGTTTATGATCCTTTTAATCTATTCTTGAATGCAGTTTGCTGTTCTGTTGAGGATCAAACAAGCAGGATTGCGTGTTAGGTGGCTTGTGTATTTAAGACAGAAGAGTGTGTTACTAAACAAAGGGATGGAAAATGGAAGTTGAAGCTTCAGAAAAGCAAAAATACTCCAGAAGTGCTGTGCAATGCACAGGGGCAGGAACCAGCTTGACTCGGAACTGGAAGGAAGGGGGGGGGGGGGCGGGTGGGGAGAGACAGTGGATGGAGATTTATAGAATTTTGTATAGGGGAAGGCCAGAAAGTTGAGATTACTTAAACTTAATGGCCTGTGAACGTAATCTTCCCAGATAAAGGGAAGGAAGTGGGTGGGTAGAGGGGTGGGCAGCAAAGAAGACTGATTGAAGAACTTGAAAAGAATGAGGTAAGACTAGCTAGGATGGAAACTTGCAAGTGTTTTATCCAAAGCACTGTTAAGATTGTGCTGATTTGCCCTGGTTAAGAGTTTTCAGATTTCTCACTCAGTGCTTTTAGTTGGAAAATAGCATCCTCTTGCCAAGTTATTTATTTCTGGCAAAATGGCGGTGGCTAAAAGACAAGGAAGGGAAAAGCCCAAGAAAATAGAACAAAAGAAGGTCAAAGGAAGGTCCGAGGACAGGAGTGAGGACTTCAGGTAGAACAGCACTCCTGACTAAGCCCAATTTGCATAGGGAAGGCCCAGGGGGAAGAAAAAAACATAAAAATTGAGTCTGTCACCGAAGTGTACAGATACGTTCTTAATGACTTCAAAGACAAAATCTTTAAAAAAAAAAAAATGATGTGCCTGTTTCTAAATCCCAACAGAAATATGCCTACAAGTCATGTAAGGCCCTGAGTTCCTGGGTGAATGACCTCATCCAGAGGCTGAACTTCTTTAACACCTGGGCCAAAATGGCGTACACCGCAATGCATCATCGGTATGTAGAAAGACTGCTCTATGTTTCTACATCATTTTTATTTTGAGCTTAGTGGTTTCACCATGTAATTTCACATCCTTGGCCTCTGAGTTCTCACTGCAACATGTGAATTTAAACAAAAGAGGTATTCTTTTTTTTTTTTAATTTTATGGTATTTTATTTAAGGTGCAAATGTGTTAATATCAGTATTTTTTTAAGAGTTTGGGGTTTTTTTATTTTAATTTTTTTTTTAATTGAAGGATAACTGCTTTACAGAATTGTGTTGGTTTCTGCCAAACATCAACATGAATCAGCCATAGGTATACCTCCCTCTTGAACTTCCTCCCATCTCCCTCCCCGTTCCACCCCCCAAGGTTGTTACAGAGCCCGGTTTGAGTTCCCTGAGTCATACAACAAATTCCCATTGTCTATCTGTTTTACATATGGTAACGTAGGTTTCCATGTTACTTTCTCCAAACATTCCACCCTCTCCTCAAAAGGAGGGATTCTTATCTTCAGTTTAGGAGGAGGAACCAGAGACCTAAGAACTGGAGAGTTTCTTCCAAGGTCACTCTACCCTAAGAGACAAAGGTAGAAACAGAACCTAATACATTCCTCTTTCTGTTATGCTATACTGTGTCATGTGACACTAGCAGGAAGAAATGTGAAAAGAAATAAAAACTAATTACATATAATTTTTAAATTTTTTAATACATAGCACAAAATAATTTGAAAGGCATGACAGTAATTCACATTTAAGGAGTGCCTCACAGGGTGTTGGGCTTCCCAGGTGGTTCAGTTCAGTTCAGTTCAGTCACTCAGTCATGTCCTAATCATTGCGACCCCATGGACTGCAGCATGCCAGGCCTCCCTATCCATCACCCATTCCCAGAGCTTGCTCGAACACATGTCCATCGAGAGAGTGATGCCATCCAACCGTCTCATCCTCTGTCATACTCTTCTCCTCCAGCATCAGGGTCTTTTCCAATGAGTCAGTTCTTTGCATCAGGTGGCCAAAATATTGGAGTTTCAGCTTCAACATCAGTCCTTCCAATGAATTCAGGACTGATTTCTGTTAGGATGCACTGGTTGGATCTCCTTGCTGTCCAAGGGACTCTCAAGAGTTTTCTCCAACACCACACCAGTTCAAAAGCATCAATTCTTCAGCATTCAGCTTTCTTTATAGTCCAACTCTCACATCCATACATGACTACTAGAAAAATCATAGCTTTGACTAATGGACCTTTGTTGGCAAAGTGATGTCTCTGCTTTTTAATAAGCCGTCTAGGTTGGTCATCGCTTTTCTTCCAAGGAGTAAGTGTCTTTTAATTTCATGGCTGCAATCACCATCTGCAGTGATTTTGGCACCCAAAAGAGTAAAGTCTGTCACTGTTTCCATTGTTTCCCCATCTATTTGCCATGAAGTGATGGGACCAGATGTCATGATCTTAGTTTTCTGAATGTTGAGTTTTAAGACAACTTTTTCACTCTCCTGTTTTAATTGCAGTATTATTGGTTGGGGCATAGACTTGGATTACTGTAATATTGAATGGTTTGCCTTGGAAATGAACAGAGGTCATTCTTTCATTTTTGAAATTGCATCCAAGTACCGCCTTTTGGACTCTTCTTGACTATGATGGCTACTCCATTTTTTCTAAGGGATTCTTGCCCACAGTAGTAGTTATAATGGTCATCTGAGTTAAATTCACCCATTCCAGTCCATTTTAGTTTGCTGATTTTGAACTTCCATATGTTCAAGCTGGATTTAGAAAATGCAGAGGAACCAGAGATCAAATTGCCAACATCTGGATCATCAAAAAAGGAAGAGAGCTCTAGAAAAACATCTACTTCTTCTTTATTGACTATGCCAAAGCCTTTGACTGTGTGGATCACAACAAACTGTGGGAAATTCTTCAAGAGATGGGAATACCAGACCACCTGACCTGCCTCTGGAGAAATCTGATGCTGGTCAAGAAGCAACAGTTAAAACTGGACATGGAACAATAGACTGGTTACAAATAGGGAAAGGAGTACGTCAAAGCTATATATTGTCACCCTGCTTATTTAACTTATATGCAAAGTACGTCATGAGAAATGCTGGACTAGATGAAGTACAAGCTGGAATCAAGATTGCTGGGAGAAATATCAATAACCTCAGATACACAGATGACACCACCCTTATGGCAGAAAGCAAAGAAAAACTAAAGAGCCTCTTGATGAAAATGAAAGAGGAGAGTGAAAAAGTTGTCTTAAAACTCAACATTCAGAAAACTAAGATCATGACATCTGGTCCCATCACTTCATGGCAAATAGATGGGGAAACAATGGAAACAGTGACAGACTTTACTCTTTTGGGTGCCAAAATCACTGCAGATGGTGATTGCAGCCATGAAATTAAAAGACACTTACTCCTTGGAAGAAAAGTGATGACCAACCTAGACGGCTTATTAAAAAGCAGAGACATCACTTTGCCAACAAAGGTCCATTAGTCAAAGCCATGATTTTTCCAGTAGTCACGTATGGATGTGAGATTTGGACTACAAAGAAAACTGAATGCCGAAGAATTGATGCTTTTGAACTGTGGTGTTGGAGAAAACTCTTGAGAGTCCCTTGGACAGCAAGGAGATCCAACCAGTCCATCCTAAAGGAAATCAGTCCTGAATATTCATTGGAAAGACTGATGCTGAAGCTGAAACTCCAATATTTTGGCCACCTGATGCAAAGAACTGATTCATTTGAAAAGACCCTGATGCTAGGAATGATTGAAGGTGGGACGAGAAGGGGACGACAAAGTATGATATGGTTAGATGGCATCACTGACTCAAACGACATGAGTTTGAGGAAACCCTGGGAGTTGGTGATGGACAGGGAGGCCTGGCGTGCTGCATTCCATGGGGTCACAAAGAGTCGGATATGACTGAGCAACTGAACTGAATGAACTTTCATCAAGAGGCTCTTTACTTCTTCCTCACTTTCTGCCGTAAGGGTGGTATCATCTGCATGTCTGAAGTTATTGATATTTCTCCAAGCAATCTTGATTCCAGCTAGTGCTTCATCCAGCTTGGCATTTCACATGATGTATTCTGCATATAAGTTAAATAAGCAGGGTGACAATATACACCTTGACATACTCCTTTCCCAATTTGGAACCAGTCTGTTGTTCCATTTCCAGCTCTAACTGCACACAGATGCTTCTTGACCAGTATACAGATTTCTCAGGAGGCAGGTAAGGTGGTCTGGTATTCCCATCTCTTTAAGAATTTTCCAGTTTATTGTGATCCACAAAGTCAAAGGCTTTGGGGTAGTCAATAAAGCAGAAGTAGATGTTTTTCTGGGACTCTCTGCTTTTTCTATGATGAAATGGATGTTGGCAATTTAATCTCTGGTTCCTCTGCCTTAGTGGTAAAGAATCCACCTGCAGATGCAGGAGATGCAGGTTCCATCCCTGAGCTGGAAAGATCTGGAGAAGGAAATGGCATTCCATTCCAGTATTCTTGTCTGGAGAATCCCACAGACAGAGAAGCTTGGTGGCCCACAGCCCATAGAGTCACAGAAAGTCAGACATGACTGAGAATGCACACACACAGGGTGTCATTTTTCAAAGCATTTTGCTCATACTAATCGACTTAATTCTCATAGTAACCCTGTGATATGAATTAGGTACTATTATTTATCATCCTCATTTTAGAGATGTGGAAATAGACACAAAAACATGGAGCAACTTGCCCAAATTTTCACAGCTAGAAAGTGGAAGTATTGAGATTTGAACCCGGAAAACCTAGTTCCAAGGTCTATACCAAACTGTCTCTTTCACCATTGAACTATAAGAGAATGCTACTGTTTATCTTCTTAGAGAAGGCAGTAACTCAAACCCAATCTGCAAGATTCCACAAAGCCCAGTCAAGATTCCTACTGTAATAACCACATCACTTGTTAATTGCCTTCCAGGGCTTTGTGTTCTCAAAAGTTTTAAAGCCATAGCTGGTTTTCATTAAACTACAGGACAAGAGTCCAGAGAAGGGGGAAAGTTTGAGATGAAAAGGGAAGGAGGAATCCAGGAGAGGCTGGAAGAAATTGCTCACATCATCTGAAAATGTGCAATTATTATGCCTCTAACCACACCAATCTGTGGTCTGCCTTCCAATAGGTATATGAGACATGTCACAGCTTGGAAGCACTGCAGCACATCACCTAGCCAAGACCCCAAATACCCCACTGAGCAAAATAGTGAATTCTCTGAAGGATTTCCTGCAAGATACTGGCTCCCAGCTTTCTTCTTTCCACAAGGTGAGCATGAGAACCTGGACCAGCCCTATACCCGATCCAGACAAGTCTGTCCCCAACCCCTCTACCAGCACTCTCCCTGTCCTCTTCCTCTCTGGGATGAGAGGTCCCTAGGTTAGCCCTGCTCCCCCACCCCCAACACACACACACACACACACACACACACACATACAGGTACCAGGTCCTCTTGCATGCACTAGAGCAGTCTCTCTCCTCCCTCCCCATCCACGTCCTTCCCTTGCCCCATCTCCTCAAGCACCAGAATAGACCCACATCTTTGTCAGACCTCACCCTCACCCCAGCAAGAGTCTCCCTTCCTCATCTCTAGGTCATTAATTCTTTGAGGTCAGAATCCAACAAGATTAGATGCCTCTCCAAAGCCACTGCATCCTAAGAGTGGACTCCTGCAGATGGGCACCTGCCCAAGGGATTGATTCTGTGCTTCAGCCATCTCGTTCATTTATTCCTTTAATAAGAATTAATGAATAAATGTTTGTTGGGTCCTAGGCCCCACCAGGTTGGCACAAAGGTCCAGCAGGAAAGACAGATATTCAACCAGAACCTGTTACAATAATGTGTGGTCAGGGTGTAATGAGAGTTGTAAAGGGGCCACATTAGTCTGTAAGATCCACGAAGGCAGGAGCCAGTTCCATTTTTATAGCCTATTGTATTCCAAGCACCTAATGTAGCCCTCAGCACCAGAAAAATTCTCAGTAAATATTTGAAGAAAGAGTAAGTGCATTTCTGAATGAATATAAGAATAGATGAATATTCTTAGAGCCTAAAACAGGAGGACCTAAACTAAGGGTCAGGGAAGGGAAGGCCACTAAGGAAATAACTTCTAAGATGAGACTTGACGCTTCCTTCTTATCAATTAGCTATTCTCCAGGTAGGGACAGAATAAGAGGACAGCAGTTAGCACCCTTAGTACTTACTAAATATAGTACTTATTAGTACCAGGCACCAGGCACTCTCTAAGGATTGTGTGGATGTGTGTGTGTGTGTGTGTGTATGATTCTTAAAATTTTATTTACTTATTTGGCCACACTGGGTCTTTGTTGCTGCCTGGGCTTTTCCTCTAGTTGTGGAGAGCAGGGTTTCCTCTCTCATGGCGCATGGGCATCTCACTGCAGCAGTTTTGCTTGCCGCAGAGCACGGGCACTGGAGAAGTCCTGACACGTGAGCTCAGGAGTCGTGGCTCCTGGGCTGTAGGGCACAGGTTCAGTGGTTGTGGTGTATGGGCTCAGTTGTCTTGCGACACGTGGGATCTTCCCGGAGCAGGGATCGAACCCGTGTCCCCTGCACTGGCAGGTGGATTCTTTACCACTGAGCCACCAGGGAAGCCCAGGATTTTGTCTTTATTAAGTCATTCAATTCTCATGACAATCTTATAATGTTGTCACTATTATCATCCCTATTTTCAGATAAGAAAACCTAGGCAGAGAGACATTATAATTTCTCCAAAATCACACAATAAGCGACTGAGCCAAGGTTCAAACTTAGCCTATCTGACTTGGAAATTCACATGTTTAACCACTGCACTAAACTATAAATAGCATTTTACCAGAGAAAATAGCATCCTCTCCTGGAGCATTTAGCCTTCTGAAAGAGGCACGGAGAGAGGTCACTTCTGGCTGGGCCTGTACAGATGGTCTCTTGGGCCTTGAAGAATTGAGGGAAATTTGAGAAAGATTATCTAAGGCTGAAGGCTGAGCAGAGGCGCTGAGTCAGGCCCAGTGAGTAGGTATTTAGAGTAGAAGGGACATGCCAGTATGGCAGGCTTTAAATTGCCCGGTCAAAAAAAACTAAAACCCACTCTGTGTGACTGGTGTGGTGCCTTCTAGGCAGCAGTGTTACATGATCAAGTAGAATGGAGTTACTCAACTGGCAATTTATGCAGAACAAGAATTAAACAAGAGGAAAGGAGCTGGTGGCAAGGAGAACAGTTAAGAATTCTGTTAGTTATCTTGGGATCAAGCTACAGAAGACAATCCAAACTTGTGTAAGCAAAAGAGGGCAAGTTATAAGCACATATAAGTGGAGAGGAAGCCAAAGGGGTCTGGCTTCAAGCATGGCTGGATTCAGGCAGTCAGTATCCTCCATGTCACTCTCAGGCTGCCTCCTCATGTCTCAGCTCTGTTTTTGCTATAGCTTGGTCTCTTTTTTTTTCCTCTGCTGCACATAGCCTTTCTCCATGCAACCAAGGGAAAAAATGGCCACAAGAAGTTTAGCACCTCCAGAGGAAAAAGGGCCTTCCTCTTCCTAATGTCCATAGGGGTCTTTGTTGTGGCATGTGGGATCTAGTTCCCCAAGCAGGGGTCTAAGCCGGGCACCCTGCATTGAGAACATGGAGTCTTAACCACTTATCCCCAGGGATGTGCCCATATGTCCTTTCTTGAGAAATGCCCTGACACACTTGGGTCTCGGCTTTTGCCCCTGAGCCCCATGTTTGCTGCCAGGAATATGAGGTACTTTGATCAGCCAAGACTAGGTCAAAAGTGATCAGGTCCTGGGATCCATAGCCCCTCTCTTCCCATGTGGAATATGGGAGGGTCACTGGGCCTACAAATGCTCTCATGTTTCCCAGGAAGCTCGTGCTCCTGGCCAGACTAATATCCCCAAGTCCTGAGTGAGGCAGTTGGATTTATACTCTTCTCCCATCCAGCACCCACCACGGGCGTTTCCTGACACTTTCTTCTCCACTCTTCCCTTCCCATGAGATATCAGTATTGCTAATCCCCACGGGAAACTTTGGGACAGGCACAGCTCCTGAGTCCCTGAGACTCACAAGGAACTTGGCACATGTTTTTCTCCAAAGCCTTTCTTATCACTGTGCTTCAAGACTATGGACGGTCCCAAGGAATCTCTACAGATGCCCTGACTTTTACCCACCATGTGATCTCGGACACCACCGACGTCAAAGACGAGGAATTCTCCATAATCATCCAGAAGAAACTCAACATAGTCAGGCGAGCCTTTAAGGTACTGGAATACTTCAGAGGTTGGAAAGGATAATCATTCATTCATTCAATCCATCCATCAATCATTCCCTCAACAAACCTTCATTCCTCATTTACCAAGTGCCAGGCCCAATGCTAGGCACTAGAGCATGGCATAGTCTCCCTTCAAGCCCAAATGCCATCAAATGCCATCTTTCCCACTCTGCTACTAGGGAGTTTGGAAGAATTATAAATATATTAAGTGAATAAAAGATTTAGATAAATACAATAAATGAACTTTACAACTCTCCCCTGACATAAATGAAGACTGAATGATGTTAGATCAGGATTTGAAGATGGTATTTCTTTCTTTCTTAAGATTTTTTTTTAATGTGGACCATTTTTGCAGTTTTTATTTATTATAATATTGCTTCTGTTTATAACACTCCCCTGACATAAATGAAGACTGAACACTTCTACATCAGGATTTGAAGGCGGTATTTCTTTCTTTTTTTAAGATTTTTTGATGTGGACCATTTTATGGTTTTTTTAATTAACTATAATTTTGCTTTGGTTTTATGTTTTGGATTTTTTTTTTTGGTCATGAGGCAAGTGGGAAATTAGCTCCCTGAGCAGGGATCGAACTCAGACCCCCTGCATGGGAAGGCAAAGTATTAAACACTGGAAGCCCCCAAAGGTAATATTCCAAACAAATAGAGCAGATCTCTCCTTAGCGCAGCTCAGCCTGCCATCCAGCAACCCACTCACTGCAGAGTTCAGCCACTTTCAAGGAGAAGCCCCCACCCAGCCTGCCATGAAACTCAGGGCACTCAGCAAACGTGCTAATTATGCTGGAAGCAGTTTATCTGGGCACGTGAGTGCTGACAGCCAGATGCTTGAGGCCAGTCCTAACCCCATCACGCTCCCACTGTTGCCCCACTGGTTTGAGGACCACTCTTGTGGTTTACTAAACTCCAATCTGTTTTAGCAATCTGTTTTTCTATTCCAGGACCAATACTACACAGGTCAAGAAATTTTAAGTTATATATGGAGACTTATTCAATCATTCCTCATTTTTCCTTTTTTTTAATTGAATTTTTATTCTATTACTTTTTTCTCTATTTTTGATTGTTGTAAAATAAACATAACATAAAATTTACTATTTTAAATACTGTTAACTGCACTGTTCAGTGACATTGAGTATATCTACACTGTTATGCAGTCATCTCCAGAACGTTCTCATTTTTTCAAACTGGAACCCCATACCCATTAAACACTCCCCATTCCAAACATCACAACCACCACACTACTTTTTATCTCTAAAAATGTGACTACTGTAGGAACCTCATATTAGTGGAATCATATCATATTTGTCCTTTTGTGACTGGCTTGCTAGTGATAAAGAACCCCACCTGCCAATGCAAGCGACTTAAGAGATGCAGTTTCAATCCCTGGGTCAGGAAGATCCCCTGGAGAAGGGAATGGCAACCCATTCCAGTATTCTTGCCTGGAGAATCCCATGAAAAAGGGGCCTTGCAGGCTACAGTCCACAGGGTCGCTGAGTCAGACACGACTGAAGTGACTTGTGAAGTGAAGTGTTAGTTGCTCAGTCGTGCCCGACTCTTTGTTACCCCATGGACTGCAGCCCACCAGGCTCCTCTGTCAGTGGGATTTTCCAGGCAAGAATACTGGAGTGGGTAGCTATTTCCTTCTCCAGGGGATCTTCCCGACCCAGGGACCGAACCTGGGACTCCTGCACTGCAGAGAGATTCTTTATCAACTGAGCAATGAGGGAAGACCTGAAATGACTTAGCATGCACCTTATTTCACACAGCATAATGTCTTTATAATGTCATCTATGTGGTAGCATGTGTCAGAATTTCCTTGTTTTTTAAGACTAAATAATATTTCATTGTATGTGTATACCACATCTCAGCTCAGGCCACCGTAACAAACACCACAAGCAGGATGGCCTAAATAACAGAAATGTATCTTCTCCCAGTTTTGGAGACTGGGAGCCTGAGATCAGGGTGCCAGCTGAGAGTTCTTCCTGGCTTGCAGACAGCTGTCTTCTAGTTATGTCCTCACCTGGCCTTTCCTTGATGTGCATGTGTGGAGAGAGAAAGAACAAACTCTCTGGTGTCTCTCCTTATAAGGATATTCATCTTATTGGATCACGAACCCCCCATTCATATGACTTTAATTGCTTCTTTAGAGGCCTTATCTCTAAATATAGCTACTCTGGGCAATAGGGCCTCAATTTATAAATCTGAGGAGAATACAGATTTTGGCCACCTGATGTGAAGAGCTGACTCATTGGAAAAGATCCTGATGCTGGGAAAGATTGAGGGCAGGGGGAGAATACCCCTGATGAACACCAATACCACTGATGAACATGGATGCAATAATCTTTATGAGAATGTAACGTGAAGCTGCCACTATGGAAAATAGTATGGTGACAAAGAATGAGATGTTTGCATGGCATCACCTCCTCAACGGACATGAGTTTGAGCAAGCTTCAGGAGATGGTGAAGGATGGGGAAGCCTGGCATGCTTCAGTCCACGGGGTCACAAGGAGTCAGACACGACTTAGTGACGTGACTTAGCAACAAAGGACTTTTAGTCCACAACACCGTATTTTTTCCATTCATTCATCTGTCCATAGACGCTTGAGTCGATTCCATTTGGCCCTTGTGAACAGTGCTGCTACAAACATGGGTTTGCAAACAGCTGTTTGAGTCCCTGTTTCAGTTCTTCTGGGTATAGATCTAGGAGTGGAGCTGTTGGATCATATGGTAATTCTGTTGAAATTTTTGAGGAAATGCCATACTATTTTCCATAGTGGCAGCATCACTTTATATTCCTATAAAGATTATTGCATCTATATTCATCAGTAGTATTGGCCTGTAATTTTTTTTTTTTCTGTCATATCTTTTGCTGGTTTTGGTTTCAGGGTAGTGCTGGCCTGGTGAAATGAGATCCAAAGCGTTACTTCCTCTTCAATTTTTTGGAACAGTTTGAGAAAGATGGATGCTAACTCTTCTTTAACGCCCTGTGAAGCCATCTGGTCCAGGATTTTGTTTGTTGGCAGTGTTTTGATTATGTTTCATTACTGACTCAATTTCATTACTGGTAATCACTCTGTTAATATTTTCTATTTCTTCCTGATTCAAACTTGGGAGATTGTACATTTCTAGGAATTTATTCATTTCTTCTAGGTTGTCCATTTTATTGGCATATAGTTGTTCATGGTAATTTCTGATCTCTTAAATTTTTGTGGTCTCATTTGTAACTTCTCTTTTGTTTCTGATTTTATTTGGGCCCTCTCTTTTTTTTCTTGATGAGTCTAGCTAAAGGTTTATTTTGTGGTATGTTTCAAAGAATCAGCTTCATTGATTCAGTTTCATTGATCTTTTCTATATTTTTAGTCTCTATTTTACTTACTTCTGCTCTGATTGTCATTATTTTCTTCTACTAACCTTGAGTTTTTGTTTGTTCTTTTTCTAGTTCCTTTAGATGTGAGGTTAGGTTGTTTGAGATTTTTCTTGTTTCCTAAAGTAGGCTTGCATCAATGTAAACTTCTCTGAGGACTGTTTTGCTGCATCCTGTAGATTTTGGATCATTGTGCTTCCATTTTCATTTGTCTTAAGGTATTTTTTTTATTTCCTTTTTTATTTCTTCAGTCACCCATTGGTTGTTTAGTGGCCTATTGTTTAGTGTCTGTATGTTTGTGTTGTACAGGTTTTGTTCTTGTTCATTTCTAGTCTCTTAGCATTGTGGTAGGGAACTTGACATGATTGCAGCAATCTTAAATTTAATGAGACTTGTTTTTATGGCTCAGCATGTGATCTATCCTGGAGAAACTTCCATGTACACTCAGACCACTTGCTCCTTTTTTTTTTTTTTCATTTATTTTTATTAGTTGGAGGCTAATTACTTTACATCATTGCAGTGGTTTTTGTCATACATTGAAATGAATTAGCCATGGATTTACATGTATTCCCCATCCCGGTCCCCCCTCCCACCTCCCTCTCCACCCGATCCCTCTGGGTCTTCACAGTGCACCAGCCCCGAGCACTTGTCTCATGCACCCAACCTGGGCTGGTGATCTGTTTCACCCTAGATAATATACGTGTTTCGATGCTGTTCTCTTGAAACATCCCACCCTTGCCTTCTCCCAGAGTCCACAAGTCTGTTCTATACATCGGAGTCTCTTTTTCTGTTTTGCATATAGGGTTATCGTTACCATCTTTCTAAATTCCATATATATGTGTTAGTATACTGTAATGGTCTTTATCTTTCTGGCTTACTTCGCTCTGTATAATGGGCTCCAGTTTCATCCATCTCATTAGAACTGATTCAAATGAATTCTTTTTAATGGCTGAGTAATATTCCATGGTGTATATGTACCACGGCTTCCTCATCCATTCGTCTGCTGATGGGCATCTAGGTTGCTTCCATGTCCTGGCTATTATAAACAGTGCTGCGATGAACATTGGGGTGCACGTGTCTCTTTCAGATCTGGTTTCCTGGGTGTGTATGCCCAGAAGTGGGATTGCTGGGTCATATGGCAGTTCTATTTCCAGCTTTTTAAGAAATCTCCACACTGTTTTCCATAGTGGCTGTACTAATTTGCATTCCCACCAACAATGTAAGAGGGTTCCCTTTTCTCCACACCCTCTCCAGCATTTATTGCTTGTAGACTTTTGGATAGCAGCCATCCTGACTGGTGTGTAATGGTACCTCATTGAGACCACTTGCTCCTTGTAGAGAACCTCTGCAATTGTGATTATCCTCCCCGTTTGTGGACTGCCTACCCTACTGCATTTCTGCCCCTCTTACCTGTCTCATTTTGGTTCCTTCTTTATATCTTGAGTTGCAGAAAATCTTTTCTACTGGTCTTCAGATCATTCTCATCAATATTTGCTCTGTAAATATGGTGTGACCATAGGAGGAGGTGAGCACAGGGTCTTGCTACTCTGCCATCTTACTAGAAGATTGACTTGTTTTGTCGTTGTTTTTGCTCTCTTTTTAAAAACTGGCCTAAGGGTTACAATTCTAGAAATTTGAAGTTTTACTGTATTTGAAATACTTGTCAATCCAGGATCATCATATGTAGATCAAAACCTACACATCGCTCATGCTCTCAAAGAAGGAAGAGAATGAAGTCCTTACCTTAGAACCTGGCAATGAGTACCTCTAAGGAAGTACTCACCTTAGAACCCACATGGCAATGGCAGGGAAGTGCACCTCCTCCTCTTTGGCCTCCTCCCTGGCCTTCCTCTAGATGCAGCTTCTATTAAAGGGAGCATCTCATCTGGGACCCTCTGACACCACCTCTCTTTGTTCTTAGGGCACAGACCCCACACATGTTGGAGTTCACGTCTTTGGTTTATTCATTGAGGGGGCAAGGTGGAATCACAAAGAAAAAATACTAGAAGACTCGCTACCTTGTGAGATATGTTGTGATTTTCCTGAAATATACTTCTTGCCAACAAAGGTAATCTCCCAGATGTTTATCACAAAGTTTTAAACCACTGAGCTTTCCCTCAGTAGTACCAACCATTCCTTCTACTTCCCATCCTTATGATTTCACTAGGGAGATTGGCCGATATACTTCAAACTACAAACATGTAAAATAGCCCCAAATACTCCTAAAACCTAAAATAGATGCTGTACAAACACCTAGTGTGATTTCTCAAGAATACATACTATAAAGCTATACTAGTGACTCTAAAAAATCAGGCATAATTCTATATGCAGTTATATAACCGCATAACCACCTAAAGTAAAAAGTATTCAATTTATAACAAACTCCCCAAATCTAGTGTAAAAGGAATGTGAGCCACTGGCTTACTTGAACTGTGTAATTTGAGCATTTATTTATTTATTTTTTAGATTCCTACTGAAAGATCAAATGCGTCTAAGCAGACAGAGCCAGAACTCTATACTTTTGAATGCCCAGTTTACCAGACACCTGAGAGGTCGAGTATTTTGACAGCTGCTGGTTTATCCTCAAACTTTTTAACATCTGTGTACTTATCCACAAAGAAACCTCCTAGTCACTGGATCACAATGCAGGTTGCACTGCTGTGTGAAGAGAATGAAAAATAAACTTCCATAACAAACCATGTAATTGTTGACTTTAACCAGTTACATGCTTCAAGACATTCACATGTAGTCAACATCCTTCATGAAAAAAGTCTGTGTGATCAAGGCAGATTGGACAGTGCCATCTCTTCCTTCCATTTGTATGTGAAAACTAACATTCACGGGAAGCTCCCAGCTGCTTCCATTCTAGGTAATGTCCCTGTGGGTGGGCTCTCCTCCAGGTGAGAGAACATGCCCCCAGAAAGCAGGTCTGACTTTTCTAAAAGGGAAACCCACGGCAACTAGCATGGTATTAGGGCATCTAATTCTTATGAAATTTTTGACTTTAGAGTGATTTCTGCAATTATATACAATAAAACATATACATGAAGAGCAGTTCTTTGGAATACTTTCCCCGGCTGCTCTGAGAGAACACAGAACATGACACTGTTGGCCTGACTGCAGACTTTTGAGACAAAAGAGTTTCTTCCCTTAAAGAAATGATCTTGTTCTGATTTCACCAGATTTTCTCTTTCCACTGAAAAACCAACACTGAGAATTCAATGTCAAAACTGGATGAAAAATGTGAAAATTTCATGTCAAAATGTGTTTCTGTAGGTAGATTTTTATTATTGAGCACCAACTATGCTGAACACTCATAAAAATTCCTATACCTTCAGGCCACCTATGTACTATGTGGTATATCAGTCTTTACACATGAAGAAACTGGTGCTCCTAGAGCTTGAGTTGCCCGAGCTCACACTGCCAGAAGTAGGGCTTGCATTCAAAGCCATGTTCGTTGTCACATTACCTCAGCAGTGGGCCCACTGGCAGAAAACAAATCCCATGTTTCCACAAATGAAGATCAAACAATCCCTTCTGTCTGTAAGAAGGGGGAGAAGAGGTTGTGGAGAGGGCTCACACCAGAACTAGACTCTAATAGCCATGAACAAAATATTAACATCTACTTACTTTTGTGTCTAGGAAACTGCACTGAAAGTCACATTATCAAAAGCATATACATTGAGAATCTAATTACACACAGTATTGCAGAAAATAATTATAAAGATCTAGCCCCTGTCATTCAGAACTCAATAAGAAAATGACAAAATATAGGATTTTAACAAAAGAAACAAGGTGAGGTCTTATTTGGTCCAGTGAATTCATTAAAATAGTTTTAGGAATTATCCATGATTTGCTAAAACAAAACAGTCCATGAGTTATAGAAACCACCAATAAGCAAACTCTTTTCCTCAAAGAGTACAAAAATAAAACCAAGAACCACATGATGTGATATTTTTAACTTACTTGGTTTTGGAGTGTATTCTGACACACCCACTTTATGCAAAGTCATTTCACACTGAGAAGAGAGATAAAGACATGGTGTCTGATCTCACTGACACACAAATGTCTCTCACATACATGTACTGGCTTTCAAACGCACTTGGGTGCATTTGTAATTAATACAAATTCATTTCAAAGCATTACTGAGTCTATGACACTTTTGATCATTCTTCTATTTTCTCAAAGAACAAATACTAAATCTATGATCACCATCTGCAGGTTGAGACCCTCCACTAACCCTTTTCAAGCTCTGATGTCTGAGAACCTTGATGCAAACTGCAGTTTGCCAGGGATCTCAGTCTCCCTTTAGGATGGCTCGTGGTCCAGGAGGGACCCAAATGATCCTGGAATAAACTAGGGGTTGGGTGGGAAGCAGTAATCTAAGGGTTCCTGTTTTGGTCCCAATGATCCCAGAGTTACAGCCTGGAAAAAAAATGAGAGATTCCGAAGTGGTCAAAGCAACATCTTTATTTTCAACTTTATTTCCAACTTAAAACTTCATTATAAAACTTGTCAAAAAAAAAAAGTCAAAAACAAATTAAAAACAAATTGTAGCACTGTGTTGGTAACAGCCCTTTTTTCATTAACAAGGAAAGAATTAATGATCCTCCCTCCTCCTCTATGCTTCATTGGTGAATCTAGTATAAAACAAGCTGGGACAACATTTTCTGATGCCAGAAGAAAAGCATAAAAAAACTGCTTGCATACATCAGTACTAATAAACACTAACAATTTCACCAAAACCACATTTAAAGATTACAGGATGTGGAATGCTTGAGCAAACCAACTTCATGATCACATCAACACAAGCACAGTTATATACACTTCAAACTGTAGCACAGAATAAACACTGCATATCTAAATGGCTCATATATAAAATGTATAATTGAAAACCCCAACATACAGACTATACTTATTAGATTTGCCTATGTTTAAGATACTGAGAACAATTTAACTCTGAATATGAAAGCTTAGTGAATTTGCTACTGTTCCATTAAAGGACAATTAACAATGAGACTATATCAACTTAAGTAGAATTGAATGGCTAAAGCTACCTTATGCACATCTATTAAACTAAGAGAAATGATTTTAAACTATTCCCTTAAATTGCTTTCAGATAAATAGATTTCAAAAGATGAACACAATACTCCTTAACAGGGAGTAGAGTTTTGTAAATATAAAAGATATGCAAAATACAGTATACACTGCATGAACTAACAGTAGCAAGAACACAGTTTAATTTAAAAAGTTAAAAACATATAAAAATATTAGCCTTTCTGGAAATGGCAAATTTTAAAACACCAATCTGTGTAAAAAGGTTTAAATAGTGATGTTACTCCAAAAATATATATTTATTCTATTTTTCTATTTGCAACAGTTTATAAAGGCAAACAAACACCTGCAATTGAGGTAGAAAAGCCAAATTCACAAACTTTGGATTAGGAAAAAATATCCTTCCTATGTTTTAATAGTATCTTTCATACAATAGTAACTGAATTCTCCTTGTTTCAAAATGTTTAATTCACATGTATTACTTTACAAAACTTAATTAAAATACTGCAAATGTTTGTTTAAAAGATATTGAGTTGGATAAAAAATTCGTTCAGGTTTTTTATGGAAAAACCCAAATGAATATTCTGGCCAACCCAATACTTAGTTCTGAAAATTATTTCACATTCAAAATACTATACAGAAAAACCTGAAGTCACCATATATTACATAAAAGCTATGTATTTACAGTTTCAAATGCAGTTTTAGAAGCTGAGGTTAAGCAAACCACTACTAATGGTCTTCATTAAACAGTGTCCACTATCAGTTATTCCCCTTCCCGTACAGCATTGAACAGACAATCGGTTTTTACTTTCAAATCACGTAACTAGAAAATCACTTAATTTAAAGGGAAACAAATGAAAATTCTATCCCCTTAATGTAAGAAAACATAAATGAACTTTAAAATGTAACAGTGTTTTTATTTAAGACAAAAACCAAACCAACTGGACAGAAGAATCAAAATTTGAAAGGTAATCAAAAATCCTGAACATCAATAGTATTCAGTGCATTTATAAGACTTTTTTGTTCTCAGATTTTTAAAGATTAAAAATTTCCTAAGAGTGCAAATTCTATTTATATTTTCCTTATGTTAATTGTTATGATTTAATAAACATGGCTACATGAAAAGACTTACTACTTGGCTCTATCTATAGTCCTGGCTGAAAAAGAAATATACAGATTCTGTCAGTGCAATGAAAGAAGATTCATTTTGGATTTTTTTTTTTTTTTGCAAATGGAAGATAGAACTGCAGGAGTATTTAGAGGGTGCCAGAGCAGAATCAGTAGATGTAGGGGAATATGCGGTAGGGGACTCGCTGGCAGTACTTTTCCCACGCCAGGCCATACTTCTTCCTACAGTGGTGCTCATCGCGGGCTTCCCGGTGCACCAGCAAGATGGTGAAATAAATCACATAGAAATAAGGCAGAATGTGATTGAAACCTGGGGATAACAAAAGTAAACAGTACCTAGTGTTTTTATTTTTCACTACACAACTACACAACATTGTTTCCTGCGCTTCCCCAAATAGCCTAAAACTGGGGCGTCCCATTACTCCATTTTCTCCAATAATGGGGGAAACAACTAAACCAGTTCATAAAATCCCACTGCTGTGTGGCAGAAGTAGTAGTTGAATTAAAAGCTATTCAGAGAAGAGTGATTAATCCATCCTAACGATCCTTCATAATCAGAACATCTGTCCTTCTAATTAAAGCAAACCTCTCCATTTCCTCCCCTCTGGCGCTCAGGGTAGAGAACCGCTGGCCATCACCGCAGAGCAGGGCAAACAGCACCGCAGGGTGTGGACTGACCCAGACACATACAAAGCTGTGTGCCTTAAGAACCAGATTTTTTCAGAATCCATGTATAGCGAGTCATGAATAAAAAGTTAATTAATTCCTACATAGTCTGCTTAGAAAAAAAGCTACCAGATACAGTTGAAAACAGAGTTTTGCTTGCAGGATTTTAAAGTAAAACCTCATGCTCTGTGAATTCCTAATTCCCCTCAGACACAGGATGAATGAGGTGCTGGAAACAGAAGAACACAGCACTCAGTCAGGGAACAAGAAACCCCAACCTCTAACAGAGACAACACCCAGACCCACAGAGGACAGACATGTGTGGGCAGCCTGGGAAAGAGTCCCATCCGCTCTCTTCCTGAATGCTTACCACATGGGAGGGACCATGCCAGGGCCATGATGAGATCACCCAAGTAATTGGGGTGGCGAACAAAACCCCACCATCCAGAAACAAGAAGATTTTTTCCCATGGAAGTATGAATGGTTTTTAAATCTATACAGAAATAAAAAAATGTTTAATGATCTATAGACAAGCAGAGACATAAAATCTTTACATAATGCAAAAATACAATAAATATAAACCAATACTTACGTGCAAGCCTTGGATCAGTGGGATTTTTCCGGAATGCATTTTTCTGAGAATTTGCACATCGGAAGATTACAAATCCAAATACTGTAATTTTTTAGAAATTTCATTTGTTAACAATTTACATATAATCTTTATTTTAAAGCATCTGTAATTTCATTTAGAAATGATTCCTGTGTTCCAAGGAAATGTCCAAAGTACAGAAGAGTCTGATTTCTTAAGAACAATTAAAACCCTCTCAATCTCAGGATGACAAAAGAAGATCCAATCCTGATTTCTCACTATCTTACAGCTTTCCTCATCTACCTGGGGACACCTTGAAGGAAAAACTAACAAATATACATTATTATTCATGGTGCATCCATGAATAAAATCTACTGCAGCCCACATTACAATAAAATCAATACTGGAGTTCATCTGTTAGTTATGATATCTACTGACTGTAACATGAATGCTTCATTAATAAAACTATAGCTCAGAATCTGCACCAGAACATGCACATAAATATTAATATATGCTGAATCCCACTGCAAGCCTCTTAAGCTGGTAGCTTTATTTAAGATTTCAAAATGTCAAAACTAAGAGGCCCTGACATATGACTATGTATCATCAGTCCTCAATAAAGTAGTAAAAAATAACTCTACTCCCTATTTTTAGCTTAACCATAAAATAGACATAGCCTGTCTTGAATAACACACAGCATGTGTTAACCAAACCAATAGTGAAACTAAATCTTAATTTCAACCAGAGACTTGAATTTTTCTTCTACCATAGATATTAGCGTAGCATAACAAGCAACATTTGAAGTTCAGTGCTCATTTTCCCTGCCCTCCCTCTGGTGGACGGTGTTTAATGAACAGTGTAACAAAAGAAAAAACCCATCCTGAATCTAACCTGCTACCATCAGCCAAGCTGTACTCCTCACTCTTCCCCACCATCCTGGAAGAGCTGTTCCCTCCATCTGATGTATCTATCTCCCCATGCCACTTTCACCCACCCAACAGTCAGATCAAACACCACATTTTCCAATAAGTTTACAGTGATATTCCCCAGAGAGACATGCTCTCTACCTTAAACTCCCATCATATTTGCTCTATTAGTCCCTCCTCTAGACTCTTTCTCTGCTTCAATCCAGTGTCTGAGTGTCTTATTTCTTCTGTAAGAGCATAAGCTCTAAGAAGGCAAGACCATCTTCCTATTTTTCAAGGTACTACCAGAAAAAAATGAATCATTACTAAAACAATAAAATTTTATTGTTTTTAACAATAATTATATTATTTTTAAACAAAGAGCCTCTTTGATGAAAGTGAAAGAGGAGAGTGTAAAAGTTGGCTTAAAGCTCAACATTCAGAAAACTAAGATCATGGCATCCAGTTCCATCACTTCATGGCAAATAGGTGGGAAAACAGTGGAAACAGTGGCTGACATTATTTTTGGGGGCTCCAAAATCACTACAGATGGTGACTGCAGCCATGAAATTAAAAGACGCTTTCTCCTTGGAAGGAAGGTTATGACCAACCTAGACAGCATATTAAAAAGCAGAGACATCACTTTGCCAACAAAGGTCCGTCCAGTCAAGGCTATGGTTTTTCCAGTAGTCACGTATGGATATGAGAGTTGGACTGTAAAGAAAGCTGAGTGCCAAAGAATTGATGCTTTTGAACTGTGGTGCAGAAGACTCTTGAGAGTCCCTTGGACTGCAGGGAGATCCAACCAGTCCATCCTCAAGGAGATCAGTCCTGGGTATTCACTAGAAGGACTGATGTTGAAGCTGAAACTCCAATATTTTGGCCACCTGATGCAAAGAGCTGACTCATCTGAAAAGACCCTGATGCTGGGAAAGATTGAGGGCAGGAGGAGAAGGGGACAACAGAGGATGAGATGGTTGGATGACATCACTGACTCAGTGGACATGAGTTTGAGTAAACTCCAGGAGTTGGTGATGAACAGGGAGGCCTGGCGTGCTGCATTCCATGGGGTCACAAAAAGTGGGACATGACTGAGTGACTGCACTGAACTGAATAAAATTTTAAATCAGGTGTTTTGTTCAAAATGATGTTTAAATAACTACTGAAGAACCCAAGGATGAAGCATCCATTCTCTTTGAAAGATGCAAGAATCTTTTATGACTCAACTCCTCCATCACAGATTATTTCATACTTGAGCTAATCATGGCCATATAAAAGGGCACGCTGTAAATACGTAGATACCACAGCACAACAGACTCAGTTAATACACAGAGACTGAAATTAATACTCACATTTCAGAGCAATGATTAGAGAAACCATTGGCCACGACAGTTCATTTGGATGACTGACTAAATAAAAGGCCTGGAAGCTGTAGATGAATGGAACCCACACCAAATCTCCAAAAGCCAGCATGAATCCAAATCCATCATGGATAATGTCCATGGTTGTCAATAATGCTTCCTAAACGTGTACAGAGAAGGGAAAAAAATGTTTTAAAGTTTGGGGAGAAAAGCTTCTATGTTTACAGTATTCAAATAAAGTACTAATTTGCAGTCAAATTTACAAAAGGCTAAAGGAAGGTGGTGGTTGTTCAGTCACCCAGTCATGTCCGACTCTTTGTGACCCCATGGAATGCAGCACGCCAGGCCTCCCAGCCCCTCACCATCTCTGGGAGTTCGCCCAGGTTCATATTCGTGGCATCGGTGATGCCATCCTGCCATCTCATCCTCTAAGATGAGACGGTAGAGCAAACCTAAAACGTTTAAAGGCGGGAGTGGGGATTTGTCTCCCTTGGCTCAGGTGTCACGCTGCGTCACTCCACCTCATCCCGTCACTCCAGCCACTCCCTCCTCGATCCTGAACCACAGAGCTCCCCAGGCCTCTTCTGGCTCCCCGCCTCTGCCAGGAACACCCTCCTGCAACTTCAGCTGAAGCCTGGCCTGCACTGCCTTTCTCAACCCACCACTCGCTGAAGCCAGCTGACTGTCCTGTAACTCAGCGGCTCTCTCCACTGGACGGGAAGATGCGGGGAGCACGGGTTTCCTCCTGCCACTGCAGCACCGAGTACAGGCGCACCAGCCTAGCTGATGTTGTTCAGTCACGAAGTTGTGTCCGACTCCTTGTGACCGCAGACACTGCAGCACGCCAGGCTTCCGAACCTAACTTCTGATCATAATCTAGCGTGTCAGGCAGCTTGTCCACACTACCCGGCAGCATGGGAAACTGCCTGCTTCACTGCTCAGGGTAAACTAGGACCTGAACACACTCTCCTGTGGATCTGGTTGGCATGAGCCAGAAACCCGCAGGCCCTCAGCTCTGGAAGTGGAGACGGCATCCTGTCTCAGGGCATCCCGTCTCAGGGCATCCCTAACCTGCCTCAGACTCCAGTACTCAACACTGACCAGAAAAATTAGCAAGTATAATCTCTATTAAAGAATCAATGTTCTAGGGTAAAGAAAAAGAGTGATATCTCCAAAATGCTTTTTTTTTTTTTTTCTTTTTCCAGAAAGCAAACAAAAAGACCACAGAACAGAAAAATGATTGTTACAGTTTCCGGGCCTGTTGGTTCACCCTCTAGTCAACAAGCCTATTCTTTTGCACCGGGGAGCAGATAAGATAGCACACGAGGGGGGACACAGAGAGGAAGGGCCAAGATACAAACAGCTGGTGCCAGGAGGGGCAGGAAGGACCATCAACCCCACCCAGTGCCCGGGGACTCAGGGCTGCAGGACAGAAGCAGAGGCTCAGAGCAAGGGCCATTTACGCTTAAGTTCATAGTCTCCATTGCTCAAGGTATGCCACATTAACATGTAGAGGAACTTCCATCACTCAGTCAAATAAGAAAATTATTAAGCATCCACTAACTGAACAGCAGCGTGTCAGATACTAAGGAAAACCATAAAATCAAGTCTCTTCTTCAGGAAGCTAACTATAATCTGGCTGAAACAGTGATGACTTATTTAAAAAATAACTTCCCAACTTTAATCCACTACCCCGGGTGAAAAACTGCCTTAAGAGTTTTGCCTTAAGACACAATCATAAAAAAAATAAAAAATAAAAAAGACACAATCATTTTTTGTTAATTAACAGAAGTCAATGTTTGTTTCAATCTCTAGAAAATATGAATTTCTAAGTCACTTGAAAAGTGACTTCCATGACAAGACAGAAAACTAGAAGAAAGAATTACTCATCATCAGAGAGGAATTAAAAAAAAAAAATCTCTGAGGGGATAAAGCAACAGAGAAAATATCATCTGACTTGTAAAACATATCCTACCATCTTCTGAGCATCTATTTACTACAAAATCAAAGAAAGACCTACAACTGGCAAGGTAAAGTGCATCTGTAAGAGCTGATGGTGTTTTTAACTTCAGAAGCATGTTTAATTTTGAGCAGACTTGGAATTTTCAGACGACTCTGTATCAGATGCTCCCAACATCTTTGCAGTTTCCCAGGCTGAGCCCAGGTCCGCATTTAGTGGTAGGAGCTCAAATAGAGTCCAAATGTGGCTACCTGTACTCGAGGTCTGCTTACCTCCAAGAGGTCCTAATCTCCTCCCAAAGAAAAGGAAGATTATCGACATATCGGTATCAAGTTTTCAAAGTCGCCTTGACTGAGTATTACCAAATAATACAATTTTTCAAAAACATCTTCAAGAAGGACTCTCTCTCAAAATGTCAACAGACTGCCATGAACACTTGCTTTGGAACATCATGGTGAAGGACCATCAATTTTGTTTTTAAAATTGAAAGAAAACTTAGAATTTGGAGGAGATGATTACAAAGATAACAGTAACTGATAAAACAGTTGTAGAACAGACCCAAAGAAGATATTGTTCTCAAGAGTAATATATTTAGGTGAGACAGAGACTAGCAAACATTGCCAGTCTTTAAGTAGCAGAAAGAACTGATTCTGTATCAATGCATGAGAAAAGCCACATGTTAAGAAATCAGCGTTATTTAAACTGGTTTCCTCAATGTATCATTTCAGATTTTATGTCCAAGCTGTTCTTCGTATTCTGAAACACCAACAATAAAATAACTCCTCCAGTATTTAAGAACTAGCTGCTCCTTGATAGTCCAAAAAAGACTATCCTAATTCAATAATAGTATTTGATCCACCCATTTTCATCCATTAGAATCACTAAGAAAGTTTTATGTGTATGCATCAGTCACACCCACCAATTCAAGATCCACAGATCTTAAATACCTAGCAGCTGACAGAGCAGCTGATACACACGGACGCCTACCATCTGTTAGAGCTCGCTGTGTGTCAGCTCACTGCGTCACATGGACCCACATTTGATTTAATCTTCATAAGCCGTGGAAGCAGGTTATGTTCTCCTCACCTTGTGTATAAGAATCTGAGGCTTGGAGGAGTCAAGTCACTCACCCACACCCAATGCCATATGACTCCAAGGCTCTTAAAAATTACTTACCTCATTCCAGAGAGCATCTACCACATACAGGAGCTGGAAACTGTTGACCAAAATCATTGCTAATGATGGAACAGCGCGATTCTGCTCCTTCATCTCAGCCAAAAGCATCACCAGGTTAATGACCACCTAAAACAAAAGGGGCAGGTACAGTTCCCAGAGAGAAAGGTAGTAATTTCCCAGCTGAAAAAGCTGCAGATACACCTCACTGAGAAGCCACCATCAGTGATAAGACACATCAGTCACAGGAATCCCTTGCTAAGATGTACTGAGATGGACACTTATTCTGTGGTAGTCTTGCCAAAGACACACAACTGACTCCAATCATGAGAAAATGCTGGACTAACCCAAATCTAGGGGTCCTCTTACAAAATGAGTACTCTTCACAAGTGTCAAAGTCATGAGAGACAAAGAATGACTAAGCAACTGCTATAGACTAGAGGACGCTAAGACCAAATAACAAACAAATGCACTGTCAGACCCTGAAGAGAATCCTGGAACAGGAAAAGGCCAAGAGTGGAAAGACTGGTGAAACTTGAATAAGGTCTATGGATTTAATTAAAACTACTGTTAAAGGTGAATTTGTCATTCTTTTTTTTTTTTTTTTTTTCCTTTTTTAACTGCTATTCTTGATAACTATATTATGGCTCTGTCAGACACCAACACTGGGGAAAGTGGTGTGAAGGAACTCTATTTTTGCAACTTTCATACACGTCTAAAGTAAGGTAAAAGTACATTTCTTTTTAAAGGAAGAAAAATATTTTTTTTTTTCATAAATTCATCTACACTATTATTTTCTTACATAAACACAAACTGATATAGTCAAAATAATACAAACTCTTTTAACATTTAATAACCTATAATAGGACATCTTAACTCTTTGGACTATATTTAAAGTAAGAAAATATTTGAAGTAGACAAATGTATGGAAAGTTATAATTATTTCTAAAAACATAGCACCTATAAGCTCACTTCAAAATTGTCTACATTTCTTTCTAAATGCAAAACTAATTTGTACTACTGAATTGAAATTAAAAAAAAAAAAAAGACATACCCATCCAATTAATCCAGGACGCAATTCACAAAAGTACTTGAGATCAAAAGTACCAATCCGAGGGTTTAACTCCCGGCCAATGAAGAAATCATAGATGGCATTTCCTAAGAAGGGAAAAGTTTTTATCCAAACGGTATTCCAAACCCAACTATGAGACTTTAAAACTGCACTGCTGTCTACTACCCAGGGTCACAATTCAGTCACCTCCCAGAGCCTGGCAAACAGTCAGGGAGGACAGGCAGGGGGTGTCGGTCCCATCTGGAAATATCCCTACTGCTGCAGGCATGGGACCTATGGGGCCCAGATTCCTGGATTTTGAAGGAACTGGAGTTTTTTTTTAATGCAGACTCACAATATTTAAAATAAGTCACTTAATTTTTTTTAATGTTCTTAAATACTTTAGGTTAGAACTGACCAATTTATAACCTCTATTATTTGATTTTTTTAAAAAGGGGATATACTGTTTCAAACAAAATATGTGCCATAAATTGTTATAAAACTAATGTTAACTAAAATGCTGTAACTTATTAAAATGTCTTACTGTCATCAAGTGACTAAAAAAGGAAGAAGAAACAAATAGGAAAGCATGAGGGGAGAATCAAATTTTCTTCCTTTTATTTTTCTTAAAATTATTTTTCATCTTTTTTTTTTTTCCTATTTCTCATCTCTCATCAACTGAAGAAAGAAGAGAATTCTATGAAAGCCTAGAATTGGATGCTGGGGGGGGCCAGTGGGGGTGGGAGGGCACGTTCATGGGAGGCACTCATGGGACCCACAGCCTAACACTGCTCACCAGAGCTGGCTGGCGACAGCTCATCCCGGGGCACTTTCAAAGCCCTGGCGTAGAGGTAAACACTCAAGCCCACGGCAAAAACAATGGCTGCAAGTGCAAGCTGGAGGAAATGACGGTACACATAATAAAGCTCTACATTCCAGAAGAAACACGCTCCGACGAGTGCAGATGTCAGGATAAAAGCATAGAATCCTTTAAAAAAAAGGGGGGGGGGTCAAAAAATTAATATTAACCCCAGGGTTCACAAGAGATTTATACCATTATAAAATAACGCAACATTATTTTTTAAAGTCTTAGTTTCATTATCCAGGCTAAATACACACAAGTACATGAACAAGCAGTGCCCTGAGGTTAGCAGTCTTCAATATAGATGCTACATCTCCCATACATACTTATAGTATGTTAATTAATAATTATTAATAATAATAACATATTTTTCATTGTGAATAGTCATCTGCTTTTAATTAAGAGAGAGCTGAAAAGAGGTGCACCAAAATTTACCATAAAAGAACCTCAAAATTCACATGGTCCAAACGCTCAGGCCTGAAGTCAAATGGCTAATTACTGACAGAGCTGGGCCAAACATACATTTTAAAGCCCTAGGGTAATCTTGGTTATAAATTATGAATATTTTTACCTGAAACAACTTATCAATATTGATCTCAAAGGACCCTGAATTGTACTCTATCTCCCAAACACAGATCTCAAGAGCCTGCCCTCAGAGAAGAGACCCCAACACAAATGCCCCCTACAGGGCCAGGCAGGAGACTGAGGGGACCGGCAGGCTGGAGACACCAGGAAGGGACTGCTGGGGCCCAGAGACAAAGTTCATTCCAAAGTAAAAGAACCCACGAGGCCCCACGAGAGGAACCCCTGTTCTGAGCTAGCCCTGGTACAGCTCAACAGAGAGAGGCTGAGTGTCTGCTTTTTCTTCTGACCCAAGGACTAGTTTTCCTTTCAGGAATCGAGTGTCTGCAAAAACTGTCCTCTAAGTCGTCAAATTGCATTTGGATAAAAACAGTCTAACACAGAAAAAAGGTAGATGTTATAAGAATTCTGAAAGGGGGGTGGGAGGAGAGTTTAGGAGGAAGGGGACACTTGGAGGCCTATGGCCAATTCATGTCGATGTATGGCAAAAACTATCACAATATTGTAAAGCAATTATCCCCCAATTAAAACAAATTTTTAAAAAAATTTAAAAAAAAAAAGAATTCTGAAACCAAAGTTTTTGTAAAGTAAAACCATCATCTTTAATTAACTATTTAAATCCACATTTTCCACATATCATGTTTACTCTAAAGAGTAACTTTGTAAAACATTCATTTAATGCTCATAAAATTTATGAATGTTAAAAAGAATGGTAGATGAAGCAGTTTCTTGCTCTTGCTCTCTCACCTATGTGGATTAAATTACTCAAAATGCCTTAGGACTCCCCTTAGTTTATAATGATAAAATCTTATAATACTAGAGTGAGAGTAATCAGATGAGGAAATTTTAAAAAAAGGATCAACTGGTCCAGCCACTGCCCGCATGCTCTGCCAGCTCCAAGCCCAGGACTACTGTGCTCAGCCTGGGAGGAGCTGTGCCTTCAAAGGGAAGCAAAAGCAGAAAAGAGCACTCAGAAGTAAATGGGTACCTAGAGAGAAGCCCACAAAACACAAACAGTGACAGACCTGATGGCAAGAAGTGAACACCACCCCATCCCTCCCCAGATTCAGCCTCACCGGGGAAACAAGGCATAGGAGAGAAGGTGTGTCGGAGATTCTAACCCTGGTTCCAGAAGCAAGGAATCTGGTAAAAGTAAACGAAATGTCTGACAGGAGCAGCAAAAAAGTGTTAAGCAACCACCATGGGTCAGGTGCTGAGCTAGGCTCGATGCTTTACACACTTGGCATAAGAGGCATCTAGAGTATTGCTGGCTTCCCCTCTGAAGCCCAGCAGAGGGATTTCCGATACAGTGGATGCTAGGCGAGCCACTGAAAAAAGCATCCACAGTCAGACAGGTGAGAAGTGACAGGATTAAAACAGTCCAAGAATTAAAATTTATAAAAATAATTCCCAAGGAAAGGAAAACAGTCTACTCAGTCTAGTTAAAATGGAAAATCATTTAAGGATAACTACACTATATATGCCTGGAGGAGAGCATGGCAACTCACTCCAGTATTCTTGCCTGGAGAATCGCCATGGACAGAGGAGCGTGGTGGACTACAGTCCATGGGATTGCAAGGAGTCAGACAGGACTGAGTGACTAAGCACAGTGCAGCACACTATATATACATTTATTTCTTAAGTTAATGAAACTTCATCAGTCTTTACACAGCAAAGGTGGACTGATCCTCTTCCTCAGCACACACTCCAACCGCAGGAGGGGCTGGATCAAGAGGGACAAGGCCCTCTTATTGAGATGTTCAGTGAGACTTCCACTCCATCCACTCAGAGCTCCCACGAAAGAGCGCCTCCTACAGGCCAGTCACTCTGCTGACACGGAGGGTACCACAAAGACACAGCCAAGTCCCAGCCCACAAGCCACCTTCTCGTGGGGAGACCCCCGTGAACAGACAAGCACGCTGATGTCTGGAGGGCCTATCACAGAGGAAAATAAGGCAGGGCAAAGGAAAGAAAGAGACCTGAGGGCTTCTCTGAGCAGAGAGACATCAGAGATGAGGCAGCTGACCTGGGGGATGTTTTCCAGGCAAAAGCACTGAGACTATAGCCTAGAGATGGCCCACAGGCCACTGGCCGGAGCAAATGAGCAAGAACTCCCAACAGCAGGCATGGCCAGGAAGCCCACATCAGTGCAGGACTTCACTACATGGAGATGACTCAGGATGATAAAATGCTTATGCAAAACTGCTTCAGTGAATGATAAATGCTATTAAGAAAATAAAACTGGGGCTTCCCTGGTGGCCCAGTGGTTAAGAAGCCAACCTGGAATGCAAGAGACGCCACCAGTTTGATACCTGGTCCAGGAAGATCCCATATGCCGCAGAACAACTAAGCCTATACACCATAACTACTGAGCCTGCATGCCTAGAGCCTGGGATCTGCAACTCCTGAGTTCACTCATTACAACTGTTGAAGTCCACACACCTAGAGCCTGTGCTCCAAACAAGAGAAGCCACTGCAGTGAGAAGCCTATGCACCGCAAAGAGAGTAGCCCCTGCTCACTGCAACTAGAGAAAGCCTGCGGGCAGGAACAAAGACCCACCACAGCCAAAAATAAATAAGCAAATAAAAAGAGGATAAAACTGGAGAGAGGGAAAGAGTGACTGAGGGGCTTGTTAGTCTACACAGCATAATTTTGACATACTAGCTGCAGGTATGAGCAGTTTATTTGCATGCCCTTTAGACTACTAAGAAATAATTTACTTTTTACTGCTCTGGTGCAATCAGCTTTGATAGTTTCAAAGTGCTGAGTACAGCACCCAAAAGTCTGTGCTATCAAGTCATCAGTTTGAGTCTTAAAAAAAAAAATTACCATTTAATCTGTACTTGAGTCTTCTTCCATCAGTAAGAGGTGTTCCTTCTACAACCTTAAAAGAAAAGTTTTGTTTTTTAATTAAAAAATTTAAAAAGCACACACCATGTGTGTGTGTGTGTATGTCTTGTAAAATCACCTAAATTTCAATATGCCCAACAAGGAGGATCATCTTTTGGTGGGAAAGTTTAGTAACAAGTTTCAAAAATCTTTGCAGCACGCCCTTTGGTGAAGTAATTCCACCTTCAGGAGTTTATCTCAAATACAAATCTAGTAGTGACTTCTCTGTGTACTCAGACTATTGCAATAACCACCCTCCCCCAACCATCCCATGTCCCACCACAAGACTAGATGTGTTTTCAAAAACCTGTACATCTAAAAAAAAAACCTGTACATCTAGTTGATCTCTAGCTCAAAATTCTTCAATGACTCCCCACTGCTTTACAAAGTGGAGTACAACTCCAGAACCTCACATTTGTGCAGTCCTTTCAATCAGGTTCAACCCCACTCACCCAGTTCACTATGGCCCATGTATTTGATGGCAGAAACTCATATACTTACTTGTTCTGCTATTTATAAATATATGCTCACCCAGTTATTCAATCATTTCATGTGATTCTTTTATCTCCAATAAGAGACAGTGAGCATGTTCACTGGACCATAACATCCCTTCATCTGGATCATCCAGAGCATCCCCACATAAAAGGTACTCAAGAAACACACTTGAATGGGATGAGTTAAAAAGTTCACTTGCCCAATGGCAACTAAATTTTAGTCCCCAAAATATTCAGAAACAGTGCAATTCATTATAAATTGTAAAATACTAATATGGTATCATTTGTCTTCAGCCAAACTACTATACTCTTTCATTAGCTATGAAAGGGAACCCAGTAGAAATGTAATATCTGTTTGAGATCACAGGATTAGCACAACCACATGCTAATTTCAAATGATTCTTATCTATTAAAGGTATCTAACAACTCCTGTGTTGGGTTTTAGTCTGTGAAATATATATATGTGTGTGTGTATATATGTATATAGAAATGTATTATATATATTATATATTTCTTTAGAAATATATATTTATATATTATATGTTTAAATTATATATATTATATATTTCCATATATTTCTAATATATTTCTAAATACATTTATTTAGAAATACATACATATATATGCTGCTGCTGCTGCTGCATCACTTCAGTCATGTCTGACTCTGTGCGATCCCATAGACGGCAGCCCACCAGGCTCCCCCGTCCCTGGGATTCTCCAGGCAAGAACACTGGAGTGGGGTGCCATTGCCTTCTCCAATGCATGAAAATGAAAAGTGAAAGTGAAGTCGCTCAGTCGTGTCCAACTCTTAGCGACCCCAGGGACTGCAGCATACCAGGCTCCTCCATCCATGGGATTTTCCACGCAAGAGTACTGGAGTGGGGTGCCATCGCCTTCTCCAAGATTTATTTATTTATTTATTTATTTATAAATAAATAAATATATATAAACCCCATCAAAACTGCTTTTCTCAATAAATATTATCTAGTTGAACTCACTTTACCTAAGTTTGTCTGAACTTGTGGTTTTTACTGTAGAGTCTTCTTACAAAAATACCTGAAAATTCACATCACAAGAATTCTCTCTAGGGCCAATGTTATGGTGAGGTATCAAACTATTTAAAGGTTGCAGCTCTAGCCCCCTATCACTGGCATTCTCCAATCCCAGTAAAACTGATCCTTTCATTTACAGACAGTTGGCAAACTTGCAAAGCCCTAAGAATAAGATCTTTAAATGAATTATTTATTCATTAAGGAATCTCATGTTCTTTTAAATATATCCAAGTAGAGAATCCTACTGAAAGGAAAAAAAAAGACTATACTCAGCACTGAGGACAAGTTTTAAAGACATTGCATGAGTTTGAAGAGAACGTTCAATGGTCCAGATAACAAATTTCTGAGATGAAAATTAGAAAACTCCTCATATTTTAAAAAGTAAAAGAAGAGGACTAAAGTCCATTGACCTCAGTAGCTTATCAACTGATAATTTAAAACTCTGCACATGAAATGACATATAATGAGAGGAAACATTTTTCTTCCCCAGCAACCTCTGCTATTACTCAGGCTATTTTGCAAAACAGCTTATTCTTTTCTATTTGGTTTGGAAAGTTACACAAGAACCGTTAATCAGATTCTTAAAGTTCTGCTTGATAAGCAAGTGTTACAGAACACAAAGAGTAAAGGTTTAACAAACTAAAATTTCCCAACTTGGGTGGTTACGACCATCGACAACTTTTAACCTTAAAACTACTACCAATATCTTCACATAAACATGGGAGTGAAAGGAAGACCATCTCATTACACTACGCCCCAACAATACCACCTTACCTTTCCAATTGGCAGTAAGTAGAACAGAGCCTGAAGTAAAAACCAGAGGAGGTAGGCCCCAAAGACTCTGGTTTCCCATAAATCACCCAAAGCTGGCAGTGGAGGTGGGAAATTCAGAAGACTGGGCTCTTTCTGTTTACACATCAACAGCAACAGGAAGAGGAAGGCCGGCAGGCCAAGCATGATGAGAAAAACACCTGTAAATAATCAGTGAACATTCAAGGCTCTTATTTCAATCCAGGCTAGTTTGTTTTATTTTTTTTTCCAAGAATCACTTGAGTTTCTAGTGAAGGTCAGAACTCAAGTCTGGCTAGCTGTTTGAAGCCAATGTCTAATGCCCCATGAGATAGTCCTCATGTCCACCTGCTACATCTTCTGGGAAAGCAACCATGGGCATAAAAGTGGTAAAAAACAGCACACCCCCAGCACTGAAGAGCTAGATTCCACCTCGGAAACCAACCTCTAAAACATTCAAAATCCAACCACAACGGGAGTAAATACGCTGAGATTCCAGCAATCTGAAGACTGGAACATCTAAAAACCATCTATCAGTCTAATATTTAAAAAACATAAACTTTATATCCCTAAGTCTCTAACAATTAAAACAGTATCACATTCAGGGCTTCCCTCATGGCTCAGCAGTAAAGAATCCTCCTGTCAATGCCGGGGACATGGGTTCAATCCCTGATCTGGGAAGATCCCACAGGCCACAGGACTAGAGCCTGTGCCCCAAAGCCCTGGAGCTGCAACTACTGAAGTCCATGCCCCTCGAGCCCGCGCTCCGCAGCAAGAGAAGCCACCTCAAAGAGAAAGCCAAGCATGGCAGCAAAGAGCCGCCCCTGCCCGCCACAACCAGAGGGAAGTCTGCACAGTGATGAAGACCCAGCAGGGCCAAAAATAAATGAGTGAAATTATTTTTAAAAAACCAAAAACCAGTACCACATTTATGTAGCATGCACGCAGACTGTTAAGCAATGTTGGACACCATCTAGAGTTATAACTTATAAAATACAAAGGAGTTAAGCCATGCAGAATTTTGAACCATTTGACCAAGAAGTCCTTTCTTGGTATAACCTCATAAAACCTCACCAACTCCACCCACTTAATAACTGCAAGCCTCTGAACACTTCAGATCTTTAACCCTCAAAAGCAACCTGTCTAGCAGGTAAGGTAGACACCATGACCCCACTGGAAGCATACAGCTTATTCCCAGTGTTACCGCCAAGCCAGGCCCTGGTACCATGGTCTGATTATTAGCAGATTTCCCAATCACCAATCGTTCACTGTCCTTCCTACATACAACTATCATGCCAACCTTCCCTTCGTCACTTTACACTTCTTTGCTCAAAACCTATGAAAAGATCACTAAAAGTTTTACATACAGCCACAAGGGCACCCTTTCTCCCCTATAACTCTCCAAAATGCTCCCACTCAGGCCTTTGCACCTGTTGCTCCTTCTAAGTGGAAATTCTTCCCAGGCTCCTACCGGGCTCACTACCTGGCTGCCTGCAGGTTTCTTCAGAGAAACGCCTTTCCTGCTCACTTGATAGCAATGACCACTCGCCCACCCTACCTGCCCTCCCCAGGCTGACTCTGATGCCTACCAGGTACTCCTCCAAACTCTAAGTCCTTCGACTGTGTGGATGTCACTTCAGAGGTTCTCAACAACGCAGGTCTTTTTGTGACAACTTTTTCTTCCTTCGAATCTACTTCTTTTAATGTGATCTCTTCTCTTCTTGCACGAAGGCTATATTGTGTGGGTAGATAACTACTCTCTTGTGACAAATGGAATTTTTCCTATTTAAAAAATAAAAAGTATTAAATATCTATAGTCAATAAGTATCATGAATGCTGCCACATTAACTAATTCAGTATCTTAATATAGCCATATAAACTAGTAAATTTGTTAAATTATATTCAGTCTTTTTTTTTTAACTTTTTATTTTGTGTTGGGGTGCAGCCGATTAACAATGTTGTGATAGTGTCAGGTAAGCAATGAAGGGACTCAGCCATAAATGTACATGTATCCATTCTCCCCCAAACTCCCCTCCCGCCCAGGCTGCCACAGAACCCTGAGCAGAGTTCCATGTGCTATACGGTAGGTCCTTGTTTGTTAACCATTTTAAATATAGGGTGTACCTGTCCCTCCCAAACTTCATAATTATCCTGTCCCCCGGGCAACCACAAGTTCATTCTCTAAATCTGTGAGTCTCTTTCTGTTTTGTAATTAAGTTCCTTTGTATCATTTCTTTTTAGATTCCATACATAAGGGATGTCATACGATATTTCTCCTCTGACTGACTTCACTCAGTGTGACAATCTCTATGTTCAATCTTAATTTAGAATTTCAGAAAAGATTCTAGGAAACATGATGGTTTTCAATGTGCTTCTTTAGAGAAAGTCCCTTTAACAAAGAAAAAAACTGCCCAAGAGGAGAAATGAACCATTTCATACCTGCCTGTTTTTGTGAGGTATATCATTCCTCTCGATGCGTTCAGGCTCCCCATTATATCTGTTGATGCTATTTCCAAATGGCTTCTAAATTGAAGAATATAAAACATTTTAACCATAAGAATGGTAATTTAGCAAAAGGGAACATGATGGTAAAAATTCAGTATTGTGAAACCAAGCAATAAAACCAATCAAAGATTTTCACAGCCTGAACTCAAGAATTTCAGCCTATTTTTGCTAAAAATGAAATGGAATAGAATTGACTAGAATTTCCCAATCTTCAAAAGATTGGCTCTGAGAGGTTTCTATTGCGTTGGCCAAAGAGTTCATTTAGATTTTTCTGTAATATAACATCTTTCATAAAATGTTTCATCTTTTAAACAAAATTAGACTAAATCTTATAATTTCACTATTCAATAACAGATGCTCTAAATACTAGGAAATGAAGAAATAGTGGGTACTTACAGAGTACTACTAGTAATCTGTGAACTGCCTATTTTCTCAATTTCATCTACCTCATTTTTATTTAACCTTACATTTTCTCTCCCTGATTCTCTTTTCTCAACTCAGTCTCTTTCCTTGAATGTCATTCTCTTTAAGCAGTGGAGGGAATTTCTTATTGATGGTACAAAGGAAGGACTTAAATTTACAAAACATTTTTCAGGCAATGTATGGCTGAAATCTGTAACTTTGCTCCTTTAAAGTCATAGACAGATTATACTGCTAATAAAGCAATAGTAGGAAAACAAATTAAAAAGATAAATATAAATATATCCTTTGAGGGGCTAGCTATCAGAAGACAACATTAATAGGTGACCAAGTTCCAGTTCAAATCAAGGTCTAACTGAGCAGTGACAGCATTCAACATATACTCAAGTTTATCAAAGTGCCAATGAGCCACTTCGCAGTGGTTTTGCAAATGTCCAATATGTAATCCACAGCAACCACAAGTGTAATCCTGTAACACAACTAGTCAGCTGACCCTAAACTGTAATGACGGCAAATTGACAGGGTATCCACGCTGAGGCAAAGTATGCAAATATCACAATCAGGAGTCCAAAAGAACAAGGATGACATGATGTCAAAGCTACGTGCAGTCTAAGTACGGTCTTTCGAGCACATCACACCATCCTCAACTCAGCAATGAGTCCATGGTGAGCCCAGGGCTCAACTGGTGAGGAGCAAAGCTAGTCTGTAGCTCTTGGGTCACCAGGACTATAAGGAAGTTACACTGTAAAAAATATAGGGGTCATTAAAAGCTAAAAATGATGTGACAGAAAGCATACAACATTTGTTCCTTACCCTGAGTCATCTGACTAGTAAAGAGAGCCACTAAAAAGGTTCAAACTCACTAGTAATCATCAAAATGCAATTTAAAACAGTGAGTTGAAAATCTCTGATGATCATATTGGCCAAAAAAAAACCAAAAACACTAATAACTATTATACTCAGAATGAGAAAATAGTCCTTTATACCCTACTTGAACTGGTATAAACTTTCTTGAAACAATTTGGCAATATGCAGTAAAAGCCTCAAATCTACTCTGTCCATCTGACAGAGCAGTTCCACTTATAAGATTTTATCCTAAGAATATATCAGATGTGTAAGAATATTTGTTTATAATAATGAAAATTTAAAAGAAAAAAAGCTAAATGCCTATCAACAAGGGTGCTAACAATTATGTTACCTCCATACAATTTATAGTAAATCCAAACAATACTGTACAACAACAAAAGTGATGTAGGAAAATATAATAGACGGTTATTCGCAATATCTTAAAATTTTTAAATCTGACTACAAAACACTAGGTAATAATCCAGTTTTTTAAGGTTATTAAAAATCTGTGTGCATTTTATCCAGGAAAGAGGTAATATTAAGTGAAGACAGTAAACAATGAAACTTATTCACTTCTGTTTACTTGTAATTTTGATTTGGTCTATGATCCAAAATATTCATTGTGCAAGGTCCTACAGGTTCTGCATACCCTAATATTTCCAACCTTGAACTGTGAAAGTAATTCAATTAAAAGTGTCATCTTTGAGTACAGAAGGTAATTAAGTACAGTGATGCTAAACAAAAATGTTTTTATACCATATATTATGTCTCATTCTTTTCTTTTAATTTTTTAAATTTGTCTCATTATTTTCTGCGTGAACTTTAATCACTATAAAAACTTAGTTCAATCTATAATTAACATTTATTTACAATTTAAACACTGCTTTTTTTCTTGTAAAACCACAATATTAAGTAACTCTCAAAACTTAAAAACATTCTTTTTCATGGCACTTAAAAGCATTATACCTTCTATTCTGCCAAACATTCATTTTCTAACGTAACCTCTCCAAGTCATCACCTTAGATTTAATGTTTCCCTGACATTTTAATATTATTAACCGCAGATCACACGCGGACTCATAAAGGGGAAGACGTGATCTGGGCAGACTAAACGCTGTGTGAGGCTGGGGGGCTCCCAAACACACGCACCAGCACCAGCGGAGTCAGCTTAACTTCCAACATGTCCTTCCTGGCTTCCTTCCTGGCTTCCTTCAGGTCAGCCTGGTACGATGCTGAGGCGGATCGGCGGGAGCCTTTTGGGGGCCGGCCGGGGGACCGAGAGCGAGACCTTGAGCGGCTCCCCCGGCGTCTGGAGGGAGAACTAGAAGTCGAGCCACTTTTCCTTTGCCTGAAGGAGGTTAAAGGCTAGAGAGGGAGGAGAAGGCAGAGCTTCAGCGTTTAAGTCATAACACACGCAGACCCACACTGCAAGAAGGGAGCAATGGCGGTGATTGGCACCAGTGCTTCTAAAGTCACTTCAGGAGCTCATGGGAGCAGAGCATCCATCCAATGAGGCCAAGACAACTGCGGCAACGACCCGTCTCTCCTGAGACCAAGGCAGCCTTTCCACTCCTAACTCTCCTTTGACGGTACTGCCATGAAATGCATATTCTAAATCAAGTAGCTGTATATTGTCCCAATAACATATACAAGAGATACAATAACACTGACTCAGACTGAGATGGGAACTTCCCTGGCGGTCCAGTGGTTCAGACTTTGCCCCTTCTGATTCAGGGGGTTTTGATCCCCAGTCGGAGAGTTAAGATCCCACATGCCTTGAGGCCAAAAAACCGTAACATAAACAGAAGCAATATGGTAACAAATTCAATAAAGACTTTTAAAAATAGTCCACATCAAAAAAAGAAAAGAAAATCTTTAAAGAAATAAAAGACTGAGATGATGGGACAAAAGAAAACAGCACACAAACAATAATAAGAAAATCAGGCCCATGTTTCACTCCGAATAAAACACTGTCAGATTTTTGAAAAAAAGTCCAAGACTGGGTTACTTTGTAATGTTTTTACCCTGCTCTAACCTACTCCAAATGTTTCCAGGGATCTAGACCTCAAGGAAGGCAAACTTCCTCCCAGTCCAAATCCCTCCCACACACTTTGTGTGGTCCCTGAGCTGAGAATGGCTTTACAGTTCTTAAATGAGGGCAAACAAACTCAAAAGAAGAATGAAACTTGGTGGCACATGAGGATTATCTGAAACTCAAAGTTCAGCATCTGTGAATAAAATCTCATCGAGACACTGCCACGCCCAGACCTACTCTCACACTGTATGAACTACACGTCCCACAGTGCCTCAGACATCTGCAACCTGTCCTTTTACTCAAAACCGTCACACACCCCTGTGTCTACAGCACTTGAACTGTGGTCCACAGGCTGTGGGCTCGAGATGGGTTACTGATCTGAGACAAGGAATGAAACTGAGAAGTGGGTAGAAATTTTTATGGCATTTTGACCAAGTAATTTTACGTCTATTGAATCTGAGAATTAAACGTCAAGGCTTTTATTTTGTACATTTTTTTTCCATTTGCCTAATAATTATGATATGTTAATAAGTACTTATATACCATGGATCAGATATTTTCAAGCTCAGGTCCTCACCAGATAGGGTGAGAAGCCCTGGGCTCAAAATGAATTAATGTCCCTCTCCTGATTAAATCTCAGTGTCTAGGATGAAGCCCAAACCCCTTCAGTTCTGGTTCCTTCTTAACCCTCCTCTGCCCTTGCCCACCACACCCTTTCAGCACTGGTTGTCTGTGTCCATCCCACCCAAGCCTCTGGCACACAACCCACTGTGGGAGCCCTGCCCCATCACCTGAGTTTCTCTATCTGTCCTCAGCACTCAGCTCTGAAAGCCTGCCCCCAAACCCCAGGCCCTTCCCTATTCTCGTTATGCCCCAGTACCACCCAAGACAAACTGTCGCAGAGTGGCAGAGTGCATTAAACCAGGGACAGGGTGATCTACGTGGCTGACTTCAGCAGACTGGGAGCTTCTGAGGAACAGAGCACCATGCCTCATTCACACACTTCCAGAGCCAAAATCAGGACAGGACCCAAAGTAGGAGTGTGAGAGCCAGACCTGACTGCTCTAAGCTTAAAAACCACGCCTACCGTGATTTCCCAATTATTATAAGCATGGTCCATAAACCAAAGAGCGCTTACCTTGATATCACTCTCTTTCAATTCAAGTTCAGTTCCATCTTTGTATTTCACGTTGTAAAGCTGGGAGTTGCTGTCATGGCTCAGAATTTCTACTTCATAATAAAGTGAACTCCCAGGCCATCGACCTCTTACCACCTCACCGTCGGCAAATTTCCTACTTGGCATTTTCAAAAATCTGTCTGAAATAGTTAAAAAAAAAAAAGAGTCTGAGCATATACACATTTGTCTTTTCTCACAGATTAAACACAAAAATACAGCTTTCCAAAATGTTTAACGGGTCAAGACTTCCAGGCTAGAGAAGCCTCTGGAGGAAAGAGTGTACAATTCCTGTTTTACAGTTGAAGCTTAAATATGTTAACTGTTTTGTCCAAGGCACAGAAAGAGACGACATGAAGCAGCAGAGCCAGGACATACAGGTTGTTCTCTCCTCCACACCAGATTTCACTGGAAATCACTCTACACACAGCAGTAGCACTGAGGACTAAATATGACAAAACATAAAGGCTCAAATGATTTGCACCATGGAAAACACTGCCCACCGACAGTGACCACGCTTCTTTAATTAGCAAGGCACAATCTCACAAAGGGCACATATTTTCTGATTTATAAATCTACATAAACTGTAGTTCCCCCCTTATCCGAGAGGGATATATTCTAAGACCTTCAGGCATCCCCAATGGATGCCTGAAACCACAGACAGTACAGAGCCCCATATATACTATGGGGATATATACTATAGTCCCATATATACTACACATACATACCTATGATAAAGTTTAATTTATAAATTAGGCACCACAAGAGGTTAACAACAATAACTATCAATAGGACAAATATAGAACAATTGATCCTTGAGAGTCCCTTGGACTGCAAGGAGATCAAACCAGTCAATCCTAAAGGAAATCAACCTGAATATTCACTGGAAGGACTGATGCTGGAGCTGAAGTTCAAGACTTCGGCTACCTGATGAGAAGAACTCACTCATTTGAAAAGACCCTGATGCTGGGAAAGATTGAAGGTGGGAGAAGAGGATGACAGAGACGAGATGGTTGGATGGCATCACCAGCTCAATGGATGTGAGTTTGAGCAAATTCTAGGAGATGGTGAAGGACAGGGATGTCTGGCATGCTGCAGTCCACGGGGTTGCAAAGAGTCGGACACGACTGAGCAACTGAACAGCAACAACTTTAATAGAAGTTATATGAAAGTGGACGGTCTCTCAAAATATCTTATTGCATAAACTAACGCCTTTTCCATCTTAACTAAGCACTTAATCGTGCACTATGGCTGATAGCTTTTGCAGTTTGAGGTACAAGAGCAAAATGGATGAATTTCTTTTTCCTTCTTAACAATTTCACAATAGATTTGTTCTTATTGTAGGTCTTAGCAACCTCAGCATATGATTCTTTTTCCTTTCCCTATTAAGCCAAGAATTTTCACCCCTTCACTTAAAAGAAACACTGTATGGCTTCTCTTTGGCATAATCTGAATTGCCAGCATCACTACCCTTGTGCTTTGGGGCTATTTTTTAAGTAAAATTGAGGTCACTTGAATGCAAGCACTGTGATACCTCAACAGCTGACCTGGTAACTAAGACGGCTACTAAGTGACTAATGGGGTGGATGCGCTGGACAAAGGACGATTCACATCCCAGGTTGGATGATGAGGGCGGCAAGAGATTTCATCACGCTACTCAGAATAGCGCACAATTTAAAAGTTATGAACTGTTTATTTCTGGAATTTCCCATTTAATATTATTGAACCACAGGTGACCACAGGTAACTGAAACCTCAGAAAGTGAAACTATGGATAAAGCGGGATGACTGTAGTCTTTAAGGATGTAGGCTTTAAGGATGTATCATCTAATTTTAACAAATTACCTTTATTACTAACAGTAAACTATGAGACAGACTAGGAAAACCAAGGTTGTATAATTAACATTATATAACCTACCAAGAGTGAGAAAAATAACTTCAAGTCGAAAATGAAGAGCAAATTTGAGGTTTTCACAAATCTTTCAAGTCTTACAGCTGACGTCTCAAATGTATACCAAGTAATTCTGCCAACCACATAACTGGCCAGTATCCTAGCTCTTTTTTCAAATGCCTACAGCAAACATCAACCTCCAGTTATAGCCTTCTTTTCCAGTGAATCAAAGCACAGCCCATGAAGCCTGGTATAAGAACAACACCCTAAGAAACCACAAGCAATCTGCAGGAATTGCCACTTACATGAGACCTGTTTGCTACTTTTTTTCATACATCGACTGATTGCTGGGTGCCTCTAGCTCTTAGGTAGTAAGAGCTTCTCCCTCGATGGACCAGCAGATTCACATTTCCACAGAACAAAACCAGCTCCTCCCGACATCTCCAACACCAACTGAACGAGCTAGGTCCTCTGAAGAAGGCAGTATGCAAAATCTCTCCTTGCATCACCTTCATCCCCGAAATAGCCTCTGGGCATACAAATATACATTCCTCCCTCGGCTCCGGTCAAGAGCTGATTACACAACAATACCAACATCTCAGAACTTCTGAAGACTCTCCAGAATTAAGAAAGGAGAAAGTCACATTATCACACCCCTCCTGAGAAAAAGTCTTTCCCAAGCATCACATTTCTTCCCTGTTAATCATCTGAGAGGCAAACTTCACAAGCTTCACTTGTTTAGATAGATAGGAGCTAGGTGGGTAGATGAAAGAAGACACAAAGACTTAGGTGGTGATTAGAGGATGTCAGTCCATTTGCATGTTAGGTACAAGACACCTACCTGAGATAGCATTACGGGGTAATGAAGGGGTTTGGGCTGGGGGCGGGGCGGGGGAAGCAAGGACAAGGAGCCCAAATGCTCTGAGGATGAAGTCCCACCTGGCTGAGAAGTCACGTGAGGGGAACTTGAAAAAAAGAAGGTGGTGGACACCTTGGGACCCGGAGGAGGGGCACAAAAAAGGAAGGTGACAACAGCAAGTTTTGCCTATTTCAACATTTAGCTCCAAGCCTCCAAACACTAAGAAAGAGGAAGGAAATGTGCCCTCTTCTCTCTTCTCTTATGCCCCTTCCTTCTTCTCAGACCCCTTAAAATCAAACCTCTGTTATCAGTACTAGTTCTCTGATGTCAATTGACCAGGGTTGGCAGAAGGCAATCACATCTTTCTACATGAAGATGTCATTCAAGTTTCAAATAACTCTTTATTAACTTTTGAAACAGTCCCTCGGGAATTAAGGGCTGCATATGTGTGTGCTAAGTCACTTCAGTAATGTACGATTCTGTGTACCCATGGACTGTAGCCTGCCTCTATCCATGGGATTCTCCAGGCAAGAAGACTGTAGTGGGTTGCTATGCCCTTCTCCAGGGGATCTTCCCGACCCGGGGCTCGAACCCAGGTCTCTTATGTCTCCTGCATTGACAGACACGTTCTCTACCACTAGCGAAAATCCCTTGAGCAGATTCTGTCCCTTTTTGGAAATTTTATTGCACAGATACCACATACACAGTATCCATCCAATACTGGTCATAGGTCAATTCCAAAGAGGTTCTTCTGTTATCAATCAACTATTTGGGGTTAAACAAACTAAGATATCTCCTGGATATCTGTTAGGTCTCTAAAAATAACTTTAAAAAAAGAATTAGGAATAGCAATCTTTCATATGGTGGTTGAAAAAGGAAAACAAAGGGGGACAAACCAGCATTCTTCTCAGGAGACCGCTATCTCAAACACAAATGTTCCCAAAGATGAAACCACCACCATTACGATGGTACACCTCCACTTTGCAGGAGTATCGCACAGTGCATCACATCCTAACCCTGCAGGAGTAACTAGGCAGGTAGGACAGAAAAGCCCCAGGACATTCATGCATGTCACCATACCATCACTCAAAAGATAGGCCTCCCTCAAAAGGGAGGTTTTAGCCAAGTATGTCTGCAAAGAAAGATTCTGTTTACTGAACACAATGACTTCATCCCCCCATTAGCAGTGGAAACATGGGGACCCTCAGGCTTTTCTCTATTAAGCCACATGCTTGCTAACTTCAGTGTCAGTTGGCACTGGAATCCTTACACATTTTGGCTCCAATATGTTACTGTTTATCAGCACAACAGAATGTGCTATTCCCTGCTGATCACATCTTCGGTCTTTCTTCACTTTCCCAAATCAGTCTAAACATGGCAAAGAAAGGGAAGCGCAAATGAAGTCTCATGGTTTCCCTCTTCAACACCTGCACCGAAGGCTGGCCTACCGGGCAAAACCCAAACAGGAACCCCTGGCCTAGCTCCTGCCCCGGCCGCAGGGTACGAAAGAAACTGCCATCTTCCTGGTTGCACAGGCAGAATGGCCCCACTGTCGTCCTAAGCAAAATAAAGAACTGAAGGGGCAATAATTTCCCTCCTCCCCAGACAGCTCTCAGAAACCAAACTTAAATTGAACTTGGTGCTCGAACTAAATTAGCGCACACACACCCATCCTTTCCTCCATGGCAGTTACAACGGTGTCTTTACAGATGTGCACCTGTTTATTTGCAAGGTCCCTGAGGGCTGGGACCAGAAGCATGGGTCCAGCTGGGGTCCGGCCAGGTGCAGGCTCTTCCACACATCAGGTGAGCAAATGCACTTGCTCCGGGCTGAACCCTTGAATCGTCCACCCGCTGTCCAACGTATCTACTGGGTCATTCTGAGTATCAACAGCCTGATTCCCGATCAGACCGCGTAATTATTTTGGTAAACCGCCTGGAACCAAGCCCTTTGCAATCTGACGCTATTTTTTTTAAGCCTTAAAAAGATTCATTAAAAAGACCGGGGGGGGGGGGAAGGATCGAGCTTTAGCAGGAGCACGCAAACCTGCCTAACTACCCGTTTTTTGAGTGCACAGAAACACCGGGTGGGGGAATGCAATGCATGCAGCCAGCCGTGGAAGTCGCCAGAGACGGCCACGACCCTCCAGGACAGTGACAACCACCGACAATTAAAGTCAACTTGGCAACCCCACTTCCCCGCCCACCCGGCTGCCTAGCCTGTTCTGCCCACACAAGAGCTGGGCCCGCCAAGCCACCCCGCTAATCTGTCAAAAAGGCGCTCGGAGCAGTCTTGGGAGGGCCGATGCTGCAGGGCGGGGACAAAGGCACCGGGGTGGATCACCCACCCACACATCCTCCCTAGCCAACATCATTTTACTCCGACGCGGCGCGTCCAAAATGGAGGGAAACGTCGGCAATTTAAAACCACAGCTTCATTTCCGCAGCTGGCCGGGCCGGGCGCACTTCGAGCCTCGCCAGCAGCCGCCCCGACCGACCCGGAGAAGGGGAGGGCGAAGCCGCCGCTCCACGCCAGGCGCCCCGGGACCCCTGCCCATCCGCCGCACCCTCCCCGCTGGCCTCCCCCAGATCCCTTGGAGACCGCGCTGAGGGGAGCGGGGCGGGGTTTCGGGAGCTCACCTGCTCGGTGATCCTGCGGGAACGCGAACGACTAGGGGAGAGTCGCGGAGCAGCAACCCGGCGGCGGTTCCGCGCGCGCGACACTGCCCGCTCTCGTGCTCTCGCGCTCCGCGATCCCGCGGCCCGGGCGCGCGCATCCCCGACCCTGCCCTCTCCTCGCCCCGCCCCTCCCAGGGTTCCTATTGGCTCCTCGGTCTTTTGAATCATGCCCAGCGCTGTTGATTCGTCACGAGACGTGGCGCGTCCGCCCCGCCCCGCCCCACCCAGCTGCCGGACCAGTTCTGCGGGTGGCAGATCGGGGAGCATCGGCGCCTGGCTCGGCCCGAGAAGGATGTGTTTCCCCCGGCCTTATCTCACCCTCCAGACCCACGGACCGCGCTCTCTCTCCGCCCTTTCCCTCCCGGTACTCGCGCCTGTACAGTTGCCTGGCGATGCACAGCAGGGAAATTGGTGTGTGAAGTAGTTTGGCGAAAGAGATCGTAAAAAGCTGTAAAGAAAGTAAATTTGCATAACGATCACTAAAGATCAACTTTCCGAGGCCGAAAGTACTTCTTGCTGAAACACTATTAGTGCTCTCCTTACTATGTTTAAAAACACACACACACACACACACAAAAACACCTCTGGAAACCTTCCGGACAAGCTGTGGCTCCGAAGGCAATCTGGGGCTCCTTTGTCTTGGCGATGGCTGCATCTCGGTAGAAACTGACCTGGACGGTAGCTTGGGGGCAGTGGGGCTAGTGGGTGGATGTGGGGGTTGGTAAAGAATGTCCAGGGGTTCCCTACAACTCACATCGTTTTTATGACGGCTGCTGTAAGGAGGGGGTTCAACATTACGCGGATATAGTAGAAAATATTCACCAACGTGCGACGTCGAACAGAAAATTCTGTCCGTGTACGCTGAGATACCACTTGACGTGCACACCCGCAAGTCTAGTTTTACTTGGCCTCCAGAATGCTGAATCATTACACTGTTGACGACGAATCTGTTATGGATCCTAAACCTTTTTTTTTTTTTTTCTCTCCAAGTTATCATTATTGGTTAGTTGGTTTCCTTCCTTTGAGGTCAAGAGTTTAAAGCAGTCCACTGAGGTTCCCCATTTTGCAGTGTGGTTTTAATCAAAGTATTTTTTAACCCAACTACTAGGTTAATCTAACTTACTATATAAATTTAAGTGAATTTCTATTTTGGAAGCACTATCCATTAAATTATAATAAGTGGGCTTTACAATTTATAACCCAGCTTCTGGTGCAAGAGTGCTCCTTTTCTCAGTTACAACTACAAACCACCCAGGTTTGCTATTACAAAAAGAAGTAAAAAACAAATAACACATTGAGCTTTCTCTGTCTTTCACATCCAGGGTGTGAATGAGTGGTGAATTTCCCGGTTTAGTTCTCAGAGAGACATTTGTCATCCACAGTTGGCCAGTTGCGGATTTTCAGAATATATAAAGTCACTTGGAGAGCTGTGTCTTAGCACTGGTATTTCCCTGGCAGTTTAGTGGTAGACTCCAAGCTCCCTGTGCAGGGGGCATGGATGCGATCCCTGATCCAGGAACTAACATCCCAAATGAATGGCTCAACCAAAAAAAAAAAATAAAAGATTAAAGCATAACCAGTGGCTATGAGTGGCACAATCCCTGTTCCCACTGATGAGGAAAATGAGTAATGGAGAAGCAAAGCCAATAAGCACTGCCACTAAAGCAGCCAAAAGACATACGTGGGGCCAGGAAGGCTTAGATATGAACTACAAGAAATACGATGTCTTCTAATGTGCCCATTATTTGGCTCCGCTTCCCAGAGGATCTGGGCTATCAGGTCTGACACATGTCTTTCAGGATATAGGTCTAGATATAATTTCCCATGGCATGAAGAAGTACAGCTAGACTCATCTGGTACTGTTCATAACAAACTTTTATGCACTGTGAGCTGCAGAAAGCCTTCTTTCATAAAGTAAAAGAATCCCAAGAGCTGTCTTATAAAAACACATTTTTACCAATGTTGTTTGATCTGATTGGCTTGTATTCACATAGCTATGGAGTTCGTGATTAGCATGATGAAATAATTAGGTTGGTCTTGAGACAATTTTTTCTTTCATTTTTATTTGAAGAACTTACACTTATGTATATTTGCAACTCTTATCCCCCTCCTTTTTTTTTTAATATTTATCTATCAGAGGACAGAAGGAGAGACTTTCAGTACATGGACCCAAGTATACTGCTAGCCTCAGCTTCAGTGGAAGAATTTAAAAGGTAAGGCTAGTGAGAGAGAAAGAAAAGAAGAGGCAGGAGTTGGTGTAATAATCATAGTTTTATTTATTAAGTTCTGTCCTCTGCCTCCTGCTGCTCTAAGGATTTTTTGTATCTTCATTTATTTATTTCACTTGACCCTCAAGACATCGCTGGGCCAGGAACACCACGTGGCCCTGTGAGTCAGTGTGAATTTTAGTTCTAACACTCACTTTCAGTCCTCTCCCAGCCTGTTCTCAAAGCCTTGATTTCCTCATCTGTAAAGTGGGGATAATAAGTGTACCTGTTCTACAAGGTGATTGTGAGGATTAAATGCAGTTATATTAGGGTGGTGCAAAAGTAATTGTGGTTTTGCGTTGTTGAACTTTGCTGTTTGATATTGGAATCTATTCTTAAATGTGGTTATGTTATACATCATTTTAATGCACAATTCTTGCTTTATGCTTCTTTGCTAATGACATTACTTGCTATTTATTTATATTTATTTTAGACGAGGGAAATGATATTAGACAAAAACCAAACTCAAGCGATTTTCTTATTTGAGTTCAAAATGGGTTGTAAAGCAGCAGAGAAATCTCTCAGCATCAGCAACGCATTTGGCCCAGGAACTGCTAACAAACGTACAACGCAGTGGTGGTTCAAGAAATTTTACAAAGGAAATGAGAGTCTTGAAGATGAGCAGCTCAGTGGCCGGCCATTGGAAGTTGACAGTGACCAAATGAGAGGATCATTGAAGCTGATCCTCTTACAACTACACAAGAAGTCGCCAAGGAACTTAACCTTGACCATTCTACAGTCATTTGGCATTTGAAGTAAATTGGAAAGGTAAGAAAGCTTATTAAGTGGGTGCCTCATGAGCTGACCAAAAATCAGAAAAATCGTCATTTTGAAGTGTCATCTTCTCTTATTCTACACAACAACAGCAAACCATTTCTCCTTCCAACTGTGACATGGGACAAAAGCGGATTTTATACAACAGCTGGCAATGACCAGCTCAGTGGTTGGACTGAGAAAAAGCTCCAGAGCCAAACTTGCACCAAAAGGTGGTCATGGTCACCGTTTAGTGGTCTACCACCAGTCTTATCCACTACAGCTTTCTCAGTCCCAGTGAAACCATTTCATCTGAAGTATGCTCGGCAAATCCATGAGATGTATCAAAAACTGAAATGCCTGCAGCTGGCGTTGGTCAACAGAATGGGCCCAGTTCTCCATGACAACATCCAATCGCAAGTTGCACAACCAGTGCTTCAAAAATTGAATGAACTGTGCTACGGAGTTTTACCTTGTTCGTCTGCCATATTCACCTGACCTCTTGCCAACTTACTATCACTTCTTCAAGGATCTCGACAGCTTTTTGCAGAGAAAATGCTCCCACAACAAGCAGGAGGCAGAAAATGCTTTTTCTAAGAGTTCATCAAATCCCAAAGTATGCACTTTTTATGCTATAGAAATAAACAAACATTTCTTATTGGCAAAAATGTGTTGGTTGTAATGATTCCTATTTTGAATAGCAAAGATGTGTTTAAGCCTAGTTATAATGATTTAAAATTCACGATCCAAAACTGCCATTACTTTCATACCAACCTAATACATATTGGAAAGGTATAGCAGCCAACAACTCTTATTACAGCTGTATTTCAAGTTCATGGTCAGCATTTTTAATCAATTGTAAATAGATTAACTGGTGTTGTCAGTAGCATATGTGTCAATACCTTTTTGATGCATTTGTTGTTTTTTTCTAAGTACCTAAATCTTTTGAATCCTCCTTTAGCATAGATTGGCTTCATTCATGGCTCAGACAATAGAGAACTCACCTGCAATGAAGGAGACCCAGGTTCAATCCTTGGGTTGGAAAGATCCCCTGGAGAAGAGTATGGCAACCCACTCCAGTATTCTTGCCTGGAGAATCCCAAGGACAGAGGAGCCTGGTGGGTTACAGTCCGTGGGGTTGCAAAGAGGCAGACATAGCTGAGCAACTAACACTTTCACTTTCATAGTATAGATTAACTGGTGTTTTCAGTAGCATATGTGTCAATACATTTTTCATGCATTTTTGTTTTTTATCTAAGTATCTAATCCTTTGAATCCTCCTGTAGTTGCTAGTTTATTAAATATAAGACTGCTGTATCTTCAGTCTTTTGGTCTATACTATTCTAAGTGAAAAATCTAACCCACTCACCGGATTTAATTTTTTTAACATTTAATTAGTTATTTGGCTGCACCAGGTCTTAGTTGCAGCGCGCAGAATCTTTGATCTTCATTGCAGCACATGAGATCCTTAGTTGCTGCATTTGAAATGTTAGTTGCAGCACATGGGATCTAGGCCTTCTGCATCGGAGCACAGAGTCTTAGCCACTGGACCATTAGGGAAATCCCAGATTTAATCTTAAAACTTAAAGATCCTTTGTTCAGAAAGTAATTATTATTCAAACATTTTGTTTTTAACATTTGCTGATTAATAACCTTTTAAAATTAGCATAAAATTTGCATGGGTGTATTGAGGGTCCTGAATTATTTTTCTGCAGGAAAAAGTTCATAGTATGACATATAGGAAAGGGCTTCAGAAACTCTTGCCCTCATAGATCTTTGCTCCAAGGTGGGCTCCCTCTGTTCCTTTTTATGCCTATCTGAACTTTCCCATCCACTTCACCCTCCATTTCTACAAAACTTCTAATGGGGCCATGGTCACCTTGCTTGAATGCCTTCTCTCTTTTTCTGAGAATGGCCCTCTTGCTCATCCTCAGCAAAGCTTCCCCCATCTCTCTGCCTGCATGGCACTTCCCACATATGCCTGTCACTGCCTTGCTATGTGATGGGCATCCTGGAAGGCAGGAATCGTATTTTATTTCTCTTTGTGTGGCACCCCATTAAAGAAATGACTTGTTAGCTAATTATGAAACTGTGTCATCTATGTTTCTCCAAAAGCCAGACTAAGTAAATTCTCTCCCTCTTGGGCTAGTAACTGAGATTCCTCTGAGGCTGGGTTAAGGGAAGAGGCAATGGAACTTTCACTGGCACTAACTGTTCCCATTAAGCAGGGTAGATGAGAGAGCTTTC